TCGATCGCGCAGACTCCGACGGTACGGTACCGCCGGAAAGTATGGACTTTACCGTTGCGCGACTTGTCAGAAGATTGCCGATTTGTGAACTCGGAGCCGATTCTACAATTTCACCGAGTACGGTCGCCAGTACCAGTTACGTCAATTGTCGCAACGCGTGACACCGGTGTAACAAATTTGAAACCGAATTGTAACCCGGTCGATGCCGCCGAGACCCACCATAGGTTGCTTGTGTTTACTAAGCCTGAGGCGCGTTGTTACTTTGCTCATTTCCGGTTGAAATGCATTAAAAGCCTGGTCACTGGTTGTCAGTGTTTCGGAGCAATTCAACACGTATGTGAACTTAAGGACTTTCTAACGGATCTTGTTCGAGTTTGCCCACGGTATTAATGCATTGACGCCGGACCTTTGCAGCTCTGGTCATCACTGGCAAGTTTTAAGAAGTTTGGTACTGGATGTAACGGTTAAGCGCGGCCGCTTTCAATTCAATGATGATTTTGACTGCCAGGATTTCAAGTTTGAAGTAGTAGTCCGACTGCATGGCGGCAAATGTAACTTAATGATTAAGTTACACGGGCCCGCGCGCAGGCCCGCGCTCCATCTGTCACGGCATCTGCTCAATTCTGAAACGATTAGTAGTAACCCGTATACTGGGTATCTGGACTAGTATTTCGTTGGATCAACGACCGCACTACGTACGCGGTCTGTGATACATGTTAAACCGTTGTGCAGTAGGGAAAATTTGGACACTAGCTCGATCAATGTCTGTAGCTGCTCACTGACACTGTGGCCCACGGGGTGCCGCTGTGCTGAGTGGTGCAGAATGGCAATTCCCAGTTTTCACTGACAGTGACGGTATCTGACGGTGGAGAAAAACAGGGGGTTTAGCCCTTTTGAAACCTTTAAACAGCTAGTCAAACCGCTCGCCGGGCTTTTTAGAACTTTTTAAAACAGGCATCATTCGGAAAGTCCAATTTGTAAAGGTTTCCTTGTTTTTATGGCGGCTATTCACACTCTATTCAACGGCTTGTCCTTAGAGCTCGTCATCTCGGTGCCCCCTGTAAGAAGGCCGGATCCTAGCAATAGTAAGCCTCAACATCAAAAAGCTGCCACCAAAACCCTAAAACCCATTTCCAAGATGAAATCGGACCCACCTCGTACCGCCTGTACCGCCTATATATTGCAATATTGTAAACCTTAGTAAAACCATAAAACCGAGCGATTGCTGCCTACATGCAGTATTACCCGTAGAGACATTCCTTATTCGCACTAAATTAATTATATTTAGGCCTTGCGAAAAATAAAAAACTAAGTATCGACTCAGGTGCGAAAACGCGAAAAGAAAATAAATCCTCTGGCAGCCCAAAAAGTGGCAAAACTAGGGCAAAAAAGCCAAAAACGAAAATTTTAATATAAATTCGACGATGCTGGAGCGAAATGACAAAACCTTCAAAAATAAATATTCGCAAGGTGGTGCGAATTAGGAATGTCTCTACGGGTATGTTTATATTCGGAATGGACCGAATGAATCAATACCGTCCAGGTACGGTAGTGGTACGGATCAGCAATTCAGTGTATAGGGTATGAGGGTATCACGGCCCAGGGGGGACGATAACCCCCACACTAACCACGACCTTGTACCGTACTGCCAGCAAACCATTATTTGACCATGTTTGTCACATCAAGTGGTATGTCACTGTGCTTTCAACCTACCGGTACAATATTTGACTTTAAAGTGCAATCATGAGGCTGACTAATATATTTCTATCCCAGATTGTTTGTGATCGTTTTCAAAACTGGGGTTCCAGATCTGGACAAACGAAGTGACATGTGCGTCAAGGGTTCAAGAGTCAAAATGGACCTTGAAAAGGCCGGGAATCTCTGCATGTCGCATTTTGTTTTGCGACCTGTTCAATAGCACGTTAAACTTTTTGTTGTTAAAACATTTTGTTGATAACCTCTTTTCGACGCAGCATCAAGGCTCAAGTGCATTATGCTTCATGACGATACATGAGCAGGAAATACCGGGCCGATGGTGCTAAGTCGTGTCCGTACTCACGATCTTCAATTTCAGAGCGACATAACCCGAGGGTCAGCACAGTAACAGCTACATACCGTGCGTGCGGTTATTAAACATGAACCTCTCGCTGGTTAGCGTGACAGCGTCCTAGGTTGCCACAACTTGCCAGTCGGTCCGCTTGGGCCTGCCGCCTTGCCACTTGGACTGCCTCGGCTGGACGCAATAAGTCTGCTCAAATGGTCCTGGTCGGATGGCACCACTTCTCGCGATCATGAAGTTCGTCTTCTTGTAGGTAGGCCCACTGGCCAAGTAATGTAAGCTTGTGTTAGGCGTCCCGGTAATAGTACTATGTTTCAAACCACATTAGTAGAGACATTGCATACGGTACTTGCAAGTCACGTGTGTATTATTAACCAGCACCTTCCGGTTATATCGTACTGAATACTACTGATGACTCATGTGGAGAGACCCCCCGGGCCCCGAGCATTCGATGATAACCGACCCAGTCCCACCGGGCCCGGCTTGTCCTGTGTCGAGCGTCCGGGCTCGATATTTTCGGTAGCTGCGCGCGCATAAATGCTCGGTGCTGTTCGCCTCCAATTTGGTCCAGACTCGACTCCAGAGGAAGCTATCAACACACCTGGAGGCGGATGTTGCTCCCGACTCCCGAGTCCAGCCAGCACTGCAGGACTCGAGTCTCGCGAGCCTCCGCCGCCGGCCCGCGTACACGAGCAACTTGCGAGCCTGTGACCCGGGCAGCGTTTCTCCGGTCGTGTAAAACCGTCATTGTCACCGAGCTCCGCGCAATAACCTGGGCGAGGCGAGGAGGCGCCCGGCGGCCCAGGCCCCGGGGGCATCATTATTTCCGAGTCATGCTCCCCTGGATGCTACCCTGACACTACCCCTGCGTCGGATTATGGATTGATGGCCTGTCAGAAATCGGATTGCGCTGCTTCAATGCTGCCATGCTGCCAAGTCTGCCGCCCTCCAAACTCCTGAGCGAATTTCGCTTTGACTGACGTCAGCGTCAAACCAAGTCAGACCTTGTTCATGGCGGAAGAGAAGAGAAGACGGAGTCCGGACTGACGTAGGGTGCCCTGCTTGGAAATGCTCACGTTCATGTTGCCTTGGTGAGGGGAAACTTTGTTCAATACGTCGTAGCTGGTAGCTCCTTGAGAAGACAACCATGCTACTTGGGTTAACGCGAAGTGGTGGAGCAAGATGCACCGACGGTATGGTTGCAGCTCGTGAGTCGGGGGCCGAAGGCGGTTTGAATATGCATGATGGTGCGAAGTCGCCCCAGGTTAGGTATCGGACTAGGCCCGTTTTGCTGAGAACAGCTCAGCAAGAAGCAGAAGATTCACTGCTTGCAACCTTGGTCTTGATTGTACGGGCCCTTTGAAGCCAGTTGTGGTGAAAGGTTCTTGGATAAGCTGGACCACCTTCTGCAGGACCGGCAAAGAACTCTTGCTGATCCAAACGATTTAGGCAGAGCCTGGTGGGATTCGCAGCAGAGAGCTTGCAGAATGAACCCAGCGGAGGTTGTTGCAGGTAAGCCAGCACGTGCTCACTGTGTTTCTTGGCTACGTGGGAAATGACAAGAGTCTTGTGCTTGGATGCTGGCGTAGAAAAGGTTTAGCATATGTATTTGCTTTTGCAATGGAGATTGCCTTTGGATAGGCCTTGCTGACATCGCTGCGCGTTAAGGTTCAGCTCCAGGTTGCTGTCTCATTACGTTGCTTGCTCCATCTTCTTCAAAAGGTTTTGGCTTGACTGTCAAAACCCTGGCTCAAGATTCTGTTTACTTTTCTCTTTGATTTTAGCAGTCTTGTGTTGTCAGATGCCACCGTTGGGTATTGCTTGGGGTCCACTATTTCCCAACCATTAGTCATCGTGTAGGCTTATGAGCATCTTCCAGAGTTCCTGAAAAGAGAGGGGAGGAATTTCAGGAAACTGCCTTAGATGATCTAAAATAGAACCTTGATTTTCCGCTCGAGTTGCAAGTACCCTTTCAAAAAGCAATAAGCAAGTGCTGTGTCGGGCTGTCTTGCATTCGCAAGGGCCTCAGAATCAAAAAGGGGACATCAGTTCTCAGAATAGATGTCATCAGCTGCGATTGCAAGGGCCGGAATTAGAGGATTTTCAGTGGAGGACTGAGCAGACTTAAGATTGCATTGCCGTTTGGCTTGTTTGCCAGATGGAGGCTACATTGCCTCCAAAATGCCCTGGCCAAGATGAAAAGTACACGCTGTTGTTGATGCTACTGCCTGCTCAGCATCAAATGCAAGGTGGCAAGCGTTGCTTTGTGTCAACTCCGAGTCACCTGCTCAGTCCCTCTTCGCCCTGCTGCATTAAGACTAGCGACGAGAGTTGGCCTTGAGAAACAGGGAGCCCCTGGGAGATTGCCGCAGCTGACTTCCTTGGGGCAAACTTCAAGGACCGACTTTTGTCAGGGCCATATGGATCATACAACGGCAAACCCCCGAGTGTTCACCCTTTATTCAAACGTTGTCCACTGGGTCACTGAAGGCTGGTAGAGGAGTCCTACTTCCCAAGGAAAGGGCCTCCATCTTCAGCTTGCCCTTTGCTCTGCCTAGTCCTTCATGTCTCGAGCACTTTTACAGGCACACCTGACTCTGCACCACTTGTTCTGCAGCCACACAGGTCTGCAGCCAGGCCCCCCATCGGGCATGGTCCTTCCCCACTTCTGCAGAATGAGAGCACGGCCTTAGCGATCCCCCCACACACCATCAGACTGTCTGATCACAAGCCGCACCTGTCCTTCCGTGAGAGCGTGGGGCTGGGGCTTGCAAAGACAGCGCAACAACTGCGGCAAACACAGCGCAACGGCAGGGGCCAGTAGGCAGGCGCCTCTGCAATTGGGGCTGGGCTCCCTACCAACTTTACAGACTGGCGGGACTAGGCATGGGGAGGCTTCTGGCCAAGTCTGGCAAAGGCTAGCCTCCACCTAGATGTGTGTGTCAGGCAGGGGGCCCGTCTCTCCCGCGTTGCTTCGTTGAATAGGAGAGGTGCTCGTTCCAGGTCAAGCACGGGGTGTGTCGCCTCCATCAGGAGCGGCCCCCAGCTCAGTCAGTCAGACTCCGGTCCACATTGTCCGCCTGAGGCGCGCGTGGGCACATCACGCCACAATGGCGAAGACGGCCAACAACTCGTTTGGGAGCGACACGAGCGGCATCGTGATCTGGAAGCACAACACGATGGGCCACATGGACAGCAGCGTGGAGGAGGCCATCGCGCGCCTCGTCAGGAAGCAGCAGGAGGGCCTCGTCAACTCGCAGTCCCTCGTCTCCTTTGCCTCCGAGGTGAGCCACCTCTACCTGCCTGCTGCCCTACCGAGAGCATTGCTTTCTCAAAAAATGGTTAGGCGCTCTCGTTCTCCGCAAAGTTTGCCGTGGAGGCCTTGTAGCCAGTACTGGCTGCATCGATTTGGGGCCTCTTGAAAATTGGGAGGGGCATTGTTCTGCTTCTGCTTTTCTAGAATGTTGTTTGATGGAAGCCTGTCCTCAGCAATTTTGCCTCTTGACCTTGCCCTGCTGTGTGTCAGCTTCGAAGCAGGCCCAATGCTGTTGTCTTGCCTGCCGTCTTCCAGGATCATGTCTGCTGCTCCATCCATTCTTTCTGCTCCTTTTTTCCTGATGGGGCTTCATCCTCTGTTTGGGCAGCCACACCTCTACTCCTGAAAGCACTTGTCTGCTTCTGAGTGCTAAATTACAGCGTTTCTCTGTCAGTCTTGTGACTGGGCTTGCAGCCTCCGCACACCTTAAGTTCAGCTTTTCAAGGTCAGGTGTCTCAAACCGATCTTTAGGTCATCCAAGTAGCTGGAGTCATGGACATCTTGGAGCCATCCGGCCCACCTTTTTTTTGAGACAATGTGCCCAGGACACGGGCTGCCGTGCGTTCATTCTTTTGTGCATCCCCAGGGGGTACTGTTGGTTGGCACTCTGCTCATAAAGTGCCCTCACCGTGCCACTTGTCAAGGAGATTGTGCTTGACACCTCCAAATGACCTGGCCCTGTGCTTCGGCTGATGGTTTGATATCTGCGCTTTTGCTACTTCCTTTTCGCACTCTCTTTCAGCGGCAGTTCATGTTCTATGGTTCTCTGCTGACAATGGTCCGCGCCCATCCTTTGTGATACTGCTTCTTCCGCGCCAGCTTCGGTCTGCACAGACAAGCAAGAAAGTCCTTGAAGCGTGTGCGATTGACAGGATACGATGCGGCCGATGCAATCATTGTGACATTCCCTGTTTTCTCCTTGAGAGGCTTGTTCCAACTCTAAAGGGTGGACTGTTGGTCCAGTCAAGCTAATCTCTGCACTCAGATTTCGCCAGACACATCCGTTTATTATAGCATGTGGTAGGAATAGCATTTTAACTACAGGAAGGACGTTTCTTGGTGAGGGATTGTCAAGGTTCAGAGGGGCCCTTCCAATAATGAAGAAAGCTTCTCATTGAGAGTGCAATCTTTTTCAGACGTTGACAATGTTCTGAGGCCATTGATGTGGCCATCTGAGACTCTGAAGACTATGTTGCTTGCTGAAACACCATGTCGATGCACCTCGGGGATTTCGTATGTGCTTTCTTATGGTTATGGAGAGCTTGGTTAAGATTGCTAATTGCTGGTGTGTCGGGCTCCCGGCTTTTTCTTGAATCCATTCGCCATGCAGGCCACTTGAAACTTCTGCTTGATCCCAAGCAGGGCCTTTGGGGGAGTTGAGGCTTTTCTTGTGTCAACTTGCTGAGCATTGACACCTTTGGACCACAAGAGCAAACACTACATCCTCCCCTCCCCAGAGTGTTGAGATCTAATCTGTACCCTGTCAGAGCTGCAGGATAACGGGTAAAAATGGCTGAAAAACGGCAGAGAGAAAGAGTTGCAACGAAAGGGTTGCTTGGGATGCGGTTTGACGGGACAAGGTGTCATTTCCGGTGCCAGTGCGTTCTTCCCTTGACCTACTATGCCTCAGGCCCTTGGTGAAAGATTATGCCCTCTGACTGTGTATCTCTTACCTGAACGACGGACTATGAATCTTTCTTCACAACCTTCCTACCAGTGAATCCCCTCGCTTCACTAGTTGCTTGCAGTAGAGCAGCGCAGTAGCGTGCAGAGTGCTTCTTCTTTGGTGCAGAAAACCAGTCTTCCCTGCCTTCCAGTCTCCACTGCTCCCTCCCTGCTTCTCCTTGCAGTCCGCCGTGGTGGACAAGCCCAAGAAAGGCTTCCTCAAGCGCTTCCTGGCGTTTGGCAAGAAGGACTCCAGCGAGGGCGGCTCCAGCGAGCCGGTGGGCGGGCTGGTGATCAAAGACAAGAGCAGCTCCTTCGAGACGAGCCGCTCGCGCGGCAGCTCCACGGAGGACATCCGGCAAGGCAGGTCCGAGTTCCGCGTGTTCCGTGACGGGAAAGGTGCCGCCGTCGTTGCGCGCTCGGATGGGCGCAATTTCAAGGACCTCGCCAAAAAAGCACGCGAGGTGAGTCGGGAGGGATGATTCGTTTCAAAAGAGTGGGGGGATGTAAGAGGAAGAGGTGACGAAATCCTTCTAAATAGGTTCAGATTTGACGTACTTTGCGCATGACTTTGATACTTCAAATGTGGGTAGTGGTCGAGTTTGAGGCGTTTCTGTAAAGATTGACCTTAACGTGGTCAGGTTGGGACCCAGCCCTTGAAAGTCGACCATGGATGCAGAGGGCGATTTGACATGACGAGCCGTTAGGAACTTTGCAAGGAAGCCCGGGTTGTTTGACGAGGGCATCTACCAGTTCGCATCGCTGCAGAATGAAAGCAGGACGATTGTTCAGGGTCTTCCTTCGGATTTTGCAAGGGTTGAGGTTTTCGTTGCCCCTCGATTGAGCTGCCGGTGTGTTCTGCATATAAGATGGATAAGGAGAAGACGGAAATCCTTGGCATCCTTTTCCTTGCGTCAGACAATATGGATACGACCAGCCGGCGCCTTCCTTAGTCCCAACCTTTTTAGTTGCTCTCGTGTCCTCATTTTTCCTTGTTCCGCTTCTGCAATCGTCCAGTTCGTCTACCCGACTCCGAAAACGCAGCCCAAGGACACGTGTCAAGGCCCAGGTCAACTGCTGGGCCAGAGGCAACAAAATACTTGCAGGAGCTCATGAATCGCCATTTGGAGCAGCACATAAGATCGTTGTTCCACATTCTAGTACTTGCTTTGTCATTCATGTGCCTACAGCATCCGCCCTTCTCTGTGCCAAGCTCGTGCCCAGTAGAACAAATCTGAACCCGAGAAACGATTATGAGATGACGCGCTCATGACCTGTGCGCCCCTCGTTCCGTGCAGGCTGGCTTTCCCGACCTGGCCCGCCAGATTGAGACGGCAGAGCCACGCCAGCCGCGCCTCAACTCGTCACGCAACGGCCGCGGTGCTCATCCGACTCCGAGCGAGATCATTGATCGTGTACGTGCACGGAATAAGGAGCGCATGGGGCGCAGCGTAAGCGGGAGTGCGTCTACTGCGGAGGCGCAATTCTATGGCGAGATCCCGATCCGCAGCGCAGAGGACCTCAAGGCGCACCGCGCAGAGCTTGCAAAGAACCGAAGTGAGAGGCGCTCTGACAGTTGTCTGTTGAGGGGCTTCAGTTCTGGTGGTTCTGGTTCCCCCGTTTCAGGGTCTGCAAAAGTCTTTGTGCCCAAGCCCTGAGGCGGGTGCTTTTGCAGCTGGTCATTCTGTCGTGCTTCTGAAAGTTCTTTTTCAAGAAGGCCCCAGTTGGGTGTACGTATCTCAGCACGAGACCAGTTCACTCAGAAACTAGTTCTCTCCTTTTCGGCGCCATCCCTCACTCCTTAAAAACGTGTACCTTCACTTGTCCGTGGCCATCTCTCGTCTGCTTCTCTGTAAGGGATTTGCAGCAGCCAGGAACGTTGACGAGTCTGCCTCCGGCTCTCTTGTTGTCCACCTCTTGTCGTCCCAGCTTCGCGTTTCCGTTCCTAGATCGGACAAGCATTTGAAGCCGTGAGGTCGACACTTTCAACGCCAGAAGAGTGACCATTCTGGACGAGTGGCCGTCTGCCCGGGATTCGTATACTTCACAGTCGAAGCACGGTTGGAGCAGTTGCTTTCAACTTTCCAACGCCTGACCTCAAAATTCTAGAGCCATACTCCCCCGGAAATGTCGGTTTTCGTGCTTCAGAGCTCACCTGTCCGCCCCTCGTTTTGCAGATCGGCTGGCTGCCCTGAAGCAGAAGGAGGCTCTGGTAGAAGCTGACCAGAAGGGGACGGACGAAGCGGGCGAGCCCCCGAGCCGTAGAGAGTCTCTGCAGCCGCTCGAAAGCCTGGAAAGGTGCGCGCGCAATCCTCTTCTGCATTTTTTGGCTGAAAGGCGCAGACCTCCTGAGCTGTGCGCATCGCTGTGCCGCACATTAACATGCTGGACTTGCTCGCAGAATGAATGAGCAGGGTGCCGGTAGGGAAGAAGTTTTACGTCCCAAGCCCCTTCGCCTTCTTCTCTGGCCGGTCTAGTATCCCTGACGGTCGGTCAGGAGCATGTGTAAAAACAACCACCACGGAAACGGCTAGGGCGGCCTTGAAAAGTGCAGACGACACTTAGAAATTTTCCAGGTCCAGTTGTTCCGACCGATTGTACATTTCCTGACATAGATTCGACATGATCCCAACGTATTTAGCACATGCTCGATATGCCCAAGTCCAGATTGTGTTTTGTGTGTTCCCGCTCTTGCGAAACAGCCGCGAGCCCCCTTGAGCGCTGACCCCGTTGCGCCGCTTGTCCGCAGGGCTGCCATGGTGCACAACTGGCTGCAGAGCGGCAACATCACGGGCAACCCCGTCCTGTACCCGGACCCCTCCCCCGAGGGCCCCGGTGTGCCCACCAGCGTCGGCCCGCCCCCCCACCTCGCGCTCTCGCCCGGGGACGCCCCTGTCCCCGACCTGCTGGAGCTGGAGGACCGGGTGCTTTTCAGCCAGAAGCAGACGGAAGAGGGCCTCTTGACTGCCCCCGGAAAGGGCCTCCGGCCGCAGGGAGGGAGTCCCGGGGAGGCCGACAAGCCGGTCGGGGCCGCCCTGCTTGACCGTTCAAGCTTCACCGCTCGCGCAGACTGCGAAGGGGGCAAGCTCGAGGGGCCGGAGGGGGCCCCCGGGGCGAAAGGCGCGGTGGCGCGGAACCGGAGTCCGTTGACGAAGCCGCCAGGTTCGCGCAAGTCCCAGGAGCAGCGGTTCTTGGGGGGGGCCGGGTCTATGATGCGCTCGGCGAGTGACCGGCCCGCGAGCGGGGAGAATGGGGAGGGGCCGCGGACGGGTCTACTCCGGACCACGTCCGAAATCGCCGGGCTGGTGCACTTGCGACAGGCTTTCGACTCGGGTGTGGGGCCCCTAGAGGCCGAGCCAGGCTCGGGAAAAGGCCGCCTCTCGGACGGACTTCGACCGTCACTTCGGACTGAGCGGGGAGGCGGCCTGGCGCCCGGGGGTTCTCCCGTTCCCTGGGGAGGCTTCGTAGCCGAAGTCGGGCCGGGGCGCGCCAAGACGCCGGAGCCAGTTGGGCTGGAGCCGAGCCCCCAGCCGGGGGTGCTCGTTACCCCAATGAAGGGGCTCGGGCTTGAGCCAAAGCGGGCCTCGCCGAGCGGGCTCGCGTGGTCGCCTCTAGAAAAGGGAAGTCCGCTGCAGAGCCCACGGCCCCTTCCCGGCCCGGTGGATGACATCAGCCCCCGCCCCAAAATGGTGCGGCAATCGAGCGGCAGGTCGGAGCCGCGGCAGGAGGCGGCCTCAGGCGAGGACGAGGAGCGGTACGACCCGGCGCAGTGGCACAAGTACCTGCAAACACGCTTGGCGCAAGTGCTGCCCAACCTGTAAGGCTTGCTCTCGAGAAGCGTTCTTCTTGTGCCCAGCTGGATTCATCAGACATGTTGCGAGTGCTGAAGTCGGGCAGCGTTCTAAAAATATGCGCTGCTTGGCTCCCACAGACCCTCACCGAAGAGCGACTTTTGGGTCAAGTACGACTTTCTCTCGGACTGCGGACTGCTGATTGTTGCCCCAGGTACGCGGCTGCAAGCAGTCTGATGGAGTGTGGGGTTGCGTCTTTCGCAGGTCGAGTGAGGCACCGCAAGAAGTACTCGTAGGAGGCCGGGCGGCCCCACCCGGTGGGGACATCCCGGGGAGGAAAGACGCGCTACCACTGCCGCTGCCCCCGGGTCTCCATCCCCTGCCCCCGGCTCTGCATCCCCTTCCACCGTCATCTGGGCCTCCAAACTGGCCGTTTAAGATCGTCGATCAATCTCCTTACGATTTTGACGCTTCGGGGGGAGCCACCCCCAGAAGTTCGGCGTCCTTTTTAAGTGAACTACCGCATAGTCCGAGCAGTCCCCTGATGGACCTGCTCTTATCCCCTCATGGAGCGCACGCGGTAGAAGCGTGGCACGTGCCTCCAGCCTATAGTGGTTGAGCCTGCAGCCTGGGTCGGGCGACTGGGTCGCTCCCCATAGTCTGTTCCGACAACTGCCCAGTACGTATATTTATTGATTAACAGGGGGTAGGTCCTTGAGTGGAATTACGACTCTATCACGTGAGTAGCTCCGGTGTTGCCCGGGTTGTTGTACGATGTGGGGGAGCTGTTAAGCTGATTTTGGTGGTGTAGGAAGCTAGATGGTTGTAAGAAAGTTCGTGTTATCTGCTAACCACGACGAGAATGGACAAGCATTTGTTTAGGTTGGTTCCAATAATTTGAGACTCGAGTAGTTTCATTGAAATTAGAAGGAAGACAACCTGACATGCGAAGGGTATGGTGGGTTCGCATTAGATCGGACCCGTAACCTCGTCGCATTCAAGTTAAAACATCCTGGTCTTAACAGTCCGCGATCACCATCGCATGTCCTATTAAAAGATGAGTCACGTTGCACACTACGCTAACGCCAACGGTACGCTTACGCCTGGCGCCCATACTATTACCGTCCATAATGAATGATTAGCCTAGTGCAACCGTCTCTTTAATGCCAGCCGGAGGCCCGCACTGCTGGCAGGCGGCCTGCGCGCAGCCGGCTCTGGGGCCCCACATTAGCCTGGTAGTCGGATATATGCAGGCTTAATTCTCAGTCTCATGCAGATCATGCAATGATGGCATGCATGATGGCAATGATACAAGTAATGATAATGAATACAACATATGCATAAACGTGAGTTCCAGTAACTTTGTTGGCAGGACTAAACCGTCTTACCTTCCGAGTCCAGCAACGAATCACCGTCGGCTAGTATAACAAGCTAATGTCTGCCAACTCATTATTGAAGTGCATGACTATAGTATCTGGCACTCTTCGAATGATCATTGACGCGGCTGCATTGAAGCTGCAGCATGATGCCTATATCATGGCGGCATGACTGGCCGACCGACAACCGGCACTTAGCTTGTCGTGTACAAAGTGACCGGAATCCGGATCGAAAAATTGAATCAATGCATGATGCGGCGGCGGATAAGACTGCTGAACGAGCCGGGCCCTCATATTTAAGGGCCGACTCTCACCCTGCCATCAATCTTTATGCAGGTGTGCACTGTTTTGTGGAACCCCGACGAAGGCTAATGCAACGTACAGACTAAACGGGCTATACATGACATCAAGAACATTACTACGGTTGTGCACAAGTTCTAAGTACAGCTCAGGGCAATCAACTCAATTAGACGGTCCAGGCTAGCCTAGGCTTGTGAACGTTGCAGTCTAGCCCATGCGTCTAATTATTGGGTTTCAGGGTACCCCAATCAATGGCACAGTGACACCAATGCCAAAGGCTGTATGCAAAGTCGGTATGAAGTAGGATACCAATCTAACATGTTTAGGTCGCTTGGCTTAGAGTTGCTCTTAGTACTAGAGGTCTGTGTTTTTTGGACATGACTTGCAGCCATGGCAAGCTGCCAGTAGAGTCAACAAACTATCCAGGGTCTGCCGGAGACCGTGCTCCACGGCCATGGCGGCTAAGGGCGTTAATAAATTGGAAGTTACCATACACATATATGACGCACTGCTGATCATTACCGTCATGGCAACCAGATGCTCGCCGCGACGCCTAGGCTAGCGTGTCACCATAAGTTTTGAAAAGTCATGTGCGTGGTCCAAATGGGAACGGACTCACATAAATCTTTGTTGAAAACATGCACATGCTTGTTGCAACTTGCATTAACCATGGTGGTGAAGCTAGATGGTTGCACAAGAACCTTCCCTACTCTTTTCGAATTCCATCATGATGTCGCAGGTCCAACTTGACAGCTTACGGTGCAGTGTCCATGCAAGCTACTGAGTGTGCGGCCTTGACCGTCCCTGTCCGAGCCAAGCCCGTTGAGCTAAAAAGTAACGAATACGAGTTTGAAAGCCATGGCCATTGAGAGCGTTCCGCATGCAGTTGACGTGATGCCATGTTGACAGCTTGAATACAAAAGCAACATCCACAACGAATCTACTAACAAATGTACAATGCACTTGTCAACACTTGGGTACAGTGTATGCCATACTTTGAAGAATCATATGCGACCGGGCAGTGACTGAAAAACTTCAAGTTATTGTCTTGTGGCTGTGCATCTAGAGCCTGCCCCGGGGGCCAGGCGTGGAGGGCTGCAGCGGGCCAGTCTTGATGGGCAGCAAGTTGTTGGGGGAGTTGATGGAGGCACCGATCAGCTGGGCGGCTCCTCCTAGAAGGAGGAACTTTGCGAGGAGCCCGCGCTTCGTGAAGGGGGTAACAACAATTTCGAAGACCTTGCTCTGCAACAAGCAAAGCAATGGTCAACTCGGGCACCATTGGGTTAGGATTATGGCCCTGGCCAAAGACCACAGATTCTCATCTTCTGACTGGGCGCTGTGTAGGCTGATCGAAAGTAGACAAGGCGGCAGAACGGACAGTTCAATGCTCAAAAGAAGCTCTTGAACCGAAGCACGTCCCGAATTTAAGAATCAGCGGCGGTAGCACTCAACCCATCGATCCTGTTCAGCAATCAGGAGGAATATCAAAGTTTGCCGTGCACACAAGAGCGAGATGCTAGGGAATGCTTGCAACCTGAACTACCTGTTTCTGAGGTGTGCAGGAGCAATGAGTCCTTTTTCCTACTACCTCTCCTGACACCCAAACCCTTGCTTGACCATTCAATTTCACCAAAATCGACGCCATTATTGCACTGCAGTCAACAAGCAAGAGTTGAATGGCATTCTGACAGCGGCGCTGCGGTCCGCCCGTCCCGCCGGCGGGCTCACCTGCATCTTGTTGTACCGGTCCTTTTGGTCCACTCCGTACAGGTCCCATGACCCGGTGGTGTTGGGGAGATCCTTCAGGTCAAAGTACACCGACTCGTCACCATACTTGGCCCGAGCAGCGCCCGCCCGCCGGGAAACCTGGCGCCTGCACCACATGTATAGATGAACGCCTGAGTCCCTTGCAGGATGTGTACTCCCAGAGGATGGTCATAGTGACTCCGTCATCCAGAAAGAAAGCAGAAAGAGTCCGAAGTCCAAAACCCTTGCCAATGGGCGCCAGCAATATTGATTTGTATCGGGTTGCCTGCTCACAGGACGTATTGAATTTGACTCAGCAACTGGGCCGGAGAATGCAAATTCCTAAGTAGGCCGGGACAGATCAAATCTAGAATAGCCTTCTCTCGGCCCGGTAATTCTAACTGTCAATTGCTAAGAAAACACTGGCTTGTATTGCTTCACGCGTTAACCCTTTGTAGAGAACCCTCTTCTCCGGCGCTCATTCAAGTCTATCCGAGAAGTCCACACAGCATTTGGATCCCCTCATTATCCGGATTCAGCCTGCTCCAGTGCCTTTGCCTTGAGAAAGCGAGCAATAACGACCTTGCTCCAACATCTAATGTGGACGCGTTAGCCTCCTCGCATTGCATCCAACCTCCGCTGCACTATAACGTGTCTGAATCCAGAGCCAACACCCACTGTCAGTCTATACACCTTTCTGAAGCTAAAAGCTCATGCCCTTGTATCTCAAACCCCGGAACTTGAAAATGCGACCTGTCTACTTGGTGCATTGCACTTTACAGAGATGCCGCATTTTTCCGGCACGACATCAAGCATGGGTGCAAAACTGAGAATGAGTGTATCGGGGGGCTTGAATGCAATGTCTTGGCCAATGCAGTCGCTTCAGCGAAAAGCCAAGGGCCGATCCATCGTCAGTCAGTCCAAGGAACCGATGCAGAAGAAAAACCTGCATTGCCTTGCTGCTCCTCCATCCCGAGCAACTGAAAGCTGGGCATTCAAGGAAAGCTGGGGATTGAAGCATGCGCCTGGAGTACTCTGGAGTCCTTAGAATGCTGAGAAAGCAGTTGTGCCGCATGAGGAAGAGGAACTGCTATATTTCTTATCTGAAACGTCACATTCCTCTTGGTGCAACCAGCACAGCCAGACAGACGCATGTCTCATCCGAACTTCCAAAGTTGACTGCCACCGTTCATCATCTGCAGACTCCCAGAAGAACCCTATGAAACCAGAGTTCTCACACGCAGATAAAACTTGCACCACGCACTGAAGGAGCCACGTGACGACGTTCAAGGTGATTCAAAGTTAGTCCACTTGAGGCCTAACAGCCAATCGTTATTCAAGGAACAGCAAGAAAGCCTACCTGCAGGGGAGGGCTGGGGCTCTGCTGTTGACTGCAGGCTGCGCTGAGCTCAGCCTCTGGCCAACAAAGGCGCTCGCGGCGCATGACGACGACACTGCAAGCACAGAGGAAGCCATGGTGTCCCTAGGCTGTCGTAAAGCTGTCTGTCCTTCTTACTGTTCTTCTAAGCAAGCAGAAGAGAGCCCTCGTCTTCTTCTTCTTGCTGCAAGATTCGCTTCTCAGAAGTTCTCTGCCAAGACTCAAGAGCTTCCTTTCACCATTCAGCTAGCCTTTCTAGACAGGCTTCCTCCTCTTCATATCCGCTTCGCGGCCTTGACCGGTTCCGTACCGTCGATGGATGAGCGGACGTTCGGGATGAGAAGAAGATAAGGAGCGCAGATTTGCTGCAAATCAAGCATGCCACGGTGGACAGCCTCGATCCAATCAGAGTCGGCCAATTCAGCTTACTGCGGTCAACTCAAGTTCTGCGGCACAAAACTTTCGGACACTCCAGGGCTTCACTGAGTTCAGCAAACGGACGTACAAAACCCTCTGGCAGTCCGAAACGCGCAATCGGCGAAATTCGAATTCGGCCATGTCGAGGCCGCCCTTGCACACTAAACCGCGGCTGCGCCTGCGGCGGCCGCGCAATATGCAGGGTGCGGCCGCGCCAGCCGCCCACGCGCCCCGGCCGGCGGACTCACTGTCATTGGACTCATCGAGCTCTCAACAGCTCAGAAACAGAGCCCCGCAGTACGTGTACGCATCTTTGTGTTGCGATTGATGGCCGGCCGCCTTCCGGTATTTAGTTATTACCAGCGGTGGCCGCAGAGGGGCGCCTAGCTTTTGCCATCACATTCTATCACATGGCGGGCACAGTATGGCAGACTGGCATTCTTGGCATGCAAGCCTAGTGGCTACCGTACAGACCGTACTTCACCACTTTGATAGTAGTAGAAGGGTATGATAGAAGCAATTGAACGTGCAAAAAACTTAGTCGTGTCAGTTGACTGAGTGCAAAACACATGATGCAAACGAATGTTTCCGGCCATAGGGATCTCAACGGCGTCGATCGCAGCGCCGCTCATAGCAATGGGCTTGCAACCGTTTCGTCGCGAAATTAGTTCCTATACCGAAAAGAGCTCATTCTTCATGTCGCCACCATCACGGTGAGACGGCACGTACTGGCATCACATGGGAGAGACGGTCCCTTGGCACCGTGGTCGTGGAGTGATCTGAACATGCACTAAAGGAAAAAGTCTAGACTAGGATGCAAGTTAATTAGACGTACTACACCAATTCCGATTCAGAGTGACCGTCTAGGCCCGGCTTGCCAATGACGATGATTCAATACCTGGCGCACGTACCATTAATCTGCTTGATATTCAACTGAAAGCGTATGTGAATGATCTCCTTGGGAATTCGTATTATCATCAGTGAATGGTTTCAGTTTCCGTATGACGGGAATGATTGGACTGCATGCTTCGCCCCTATGTCCGGGGTCCACTGAGTCGCGGCAGCTTTACTGCCAGTGATCGGCTGACGTTGTACAGCCCTGGACGAAATCAGTGCAATCATACTGGACACGTGCTGCGTACTAAGTGATGAGGTGCCCGCGCGGGCGGGCCAGTGAGGAGCTCAGTTTATAAACAAACAAGAACCAAGCAAGCGAGGCCCGCCCGCAACCAACGTTTGTTCGAGCATTGTCAGTCTAATCATTAGGACCAGCGCGCTACGCAGTAATTATACCGTTCTATCGATCCAGTAAAGCAACTCATTACTCAACAGCCCTGAATGCGTGCTCCCGTGTTTTGCTATCTAGCTATCATTTCCCTCCTCTGGGTCAGCTCCGCTGCTTAATAATCAAAGTATACGATGTTGTGATCGATCATGTGATGTCATTACACCCTTTCGGCGTATGAAATGCTACGATCATTACTTCCTGCTAGGCTGATGCGCTGCCTGCTCTAGAACTGGTCCAGCATCCACTCCTACTAAGCAACGCTTGCGTCCGTCTGTTTTGGGGCACATGTCTACAGCTATAAGGTTCCGCGCCGGTTTTTTCTCAACAGCAGCGATCTTTCGACGACTTCAATTCGAAGTGCCCGCTTTTACTCCAGAGCCCGCCTTGGGTCACAATCCTCAAGTCGATCCGTCCTATGCGTGTGTGGATAACGCTATACTACTTGGCCAGGCTTCCACAAACACACAACGCCATCTTTGTCCGCGCTGACGGCCCAACCGCTGGGCCCCACGTGGCAGCACGTGATTGGCGCCCCGTGCTTTTCCAGCACTGCCAGCTGTCGCATCCCCGTCTTCTGGACGGCCCACGTGCGCAGCGCCTTGTCCGCACCGCCAGTGATGGCCAGGCCCTTGGCGGTCGACGCGAGGCACGTGATGTTCTGGACGAGAGCGGAGCAAGCAGACTGGTGGTCAGCCGAGGGAAGGAATGGAGTGCGAAGAGCAGGCACTAATTGTTCTTTAGCGGACGCACGAGAAGAGCGTCGATCGTATTGAATTACTAAATCAGGGTCTTAAAAGAATGGGCCACGGGCGGAGAACATGCGGATCCGTCAAAACGGAGGAGGCTGGTGCAGCGCAGCTCCTCAGGCAGCTTGTCGGAAATGGAAGTTTGACGCAGAAGCTGAGACAAGGTCGCCAAAAAGCGGAACGAAGAGGAGCAAGGAGTTTATACTCCAGGATGCAACCGTATCTCCACTCGCAGCCACAAAAAAAATACAGCCCTGCAGTTCTGCTCATGTCAACATCTGTTGCCGACATAGGAAGAGCCCGGCGACAGCTGTACCTTGGAGTGCCCCTGCCCGGTCGCCGTGCACTTGCCGGTGGCGAGGTCCCACAGCTTGACGGTCTTGTCCGCGGAGGCCGACAGCAGCAGCTGGCTCATGCCGGGCTTGACACTGCCCACCATCGCCAGGGCGTTCACCTGGCGCGCGCAACGCAACTTTCAGTGTTAGAGGACGAGGTGCTGACCCCTGGAGCTTTTGTGCTTTCCTGTCAGTGGGTCAGTTGCGAAGAGCTGCATCCTATATGGAGCATCTTGTGAAGAAAAAAGTTGTTTGAAAACGCGTCAGCCTTCAGTACTGGAAGCAGAAACGCCTGAGTGCATTCAAAGAGCACTTGATCAGATGACCCGGCAAGAAAGCTCCGCGGAACAAAGGCGCGCACCAGTCTGCGGGATCGCTTCCACGGCCATCTTTCGTTTCTTCGGGCCGTTCTCGTCAATCTCGCAGATTGCATGCTCAAGAAGGTCCTCATAAAGATTGCAAAATGGCTCTGTTTTCGGAGTCCTCCTAAGGGTTGCGCGCGCACCGTTTTGGTGTGTCCGACGAGCGTCTTGGGCTCCGCGGCCGACTTGGCTGTGGCCCACACTTTGATGGTGTAGTCGCTGCTCCCCGAGGCGACACGTGTGTCGTCCATGGCCAGCGCGGTGATGCGCCCCAGGTGGCCCGCGAGCGCGCCCCGCGCGCGCACCGTGCTGTCGGCCTTGTCGCCCACCGCGGGGTTGATCTCCCACAGCCGGATCTGCGGCGGACAACCGGGGGGGAAAGAATGAAAGGAGGGTTTCCGTGCCAAGACACGTTCCTTGCAGAATTACTGTTGCGCGAAATAACGTCTCCTACGTGACGGTCTGTAAGTAGCATTTCCTACGACATCTTTGTACCTTGCGGATTCGACGTCGTCTTTTCCCAAGTCACCGTTCTACACCATGCCTACCAGACTCAACTCTCCATGCCACGGAACCAAGATCCGTCGGTTCAAACGATTGCCTTTCACTCGATTAACCACTCAGGCTCGAGGGAAGAACCATTATGCTGCGAGGCTTCTAACAAGGGATCGCTTATTAGCACCAAAAATTTGGCCCTGTAATAGACCGGTGCACCTTGAGGGCAACGTCCCGGATCCGACGGACCCTATCTGCTCCCGCATTTTCCAGGTTGGGCTTCCGATATATGACAGACATACCCCCGGATCGAGGTAGGTGCTTCATGCTGTCTCCTGACCCTAAGGCACCTGACAAGTCTCGCTACTCAGTCGTGGTGACCCGCCGTTACAGACTGCAAGATAAGGGGTTCCCGAACTATTATTTCCACAGATAAAACCGAAACTTCATTCGATCATGGGACGAATAAGTATCTGGTCGCCTGAAACTCTGAAACTCTTAAACCTGAACCGCTTAACCGGCTCACCGTCCGGTCCGTGCTCCCCGACGCGACGTAGTTGCCGCCGTTGAGCTGGACTGCGGTGACCGGCCCCAGGTGTCCCCGCATGACGTGGCTCTTGTCGGACTTGAGGTGCCGCAGGTCGACCACGCCCACCGTTCCGTCGTCGCTTCCGCTGATTAGCACGCCGGAACGCATCACCAGGGACGCGACGCGGTCCTTGTGGATGCTCTGCAAGCGTGGGGCGGAAAGGAAACGTGAGGCAAGGGAGAAAGAACGGAACGGAGCGTCCTGAGTCCTTGCGCTCATTCGAGCGTTATAGACATATCTCCTTGCCGCAGCTCTATAGTTTTGACGCAAGGAAGAAACGTGCAACACCGAATCGGACTTAAGAAACCTGGACAAAAGCTCACGAAGCGTGTTGGAACGATGTTCGCGGATGACCGCTGCCCTCATAAGCTCTTCTCCGTTATCTCGAGCCTGCTCATAAGCGCTGGGCGCTCCAGCACCATTCTCATAAGACTCTGCCGCTTATTCCTGAGCCTTTTCAGATAGCGCTGCGCGCCCCTTCGCTTATTAGACCTTTGATGCTGTTCTCATGAGATCTTGTCGCGTAATGTCTGAGCCTTCTCACAAGCGCGGCGCGCCTCACCGCTTACAAGCACTTTGCAGCTCTTGTTGCCTATTCCCAAGCCTCCCTCATAAGCACTGCGCGCCCATCGCTTACCAGCACTTTGATGGCCGTCTTGCTGCGGATGTCCCACAGGCGGATGGCCCCCTCCGCGCTGCCGCTGGCCACAAGCGGGCCGTGGCTGTCGACCTTGAGCCCATTCTCCGCCGCGACGCACTCCACCTCCTTGCTGTGCCCACGCAGCGTCGCCGCGCACGTGCCCACGTGCATGTCCCAAACCTGCGCGGGTTAACAAAAGTCAAGCCCATTTTCTGTGTGCATTTTCTAGACCTGCGCGGGTTACAAGAGGGTCAAGAAGAAGCTTTTTGAGTTGAAAAGGGAGCGAGTAAATTATCAAGAGCGTCGCCGTGCACGCGCCCAGTTGCAAGTCTCAAACCGCGCCGTTTATCGAAGGGTTAAAAAAGGGTCCATCTGTGGTACTCGTCGACTTCTTCGGTTATACTTGTGGACCGCAGTGCCCCCGTGCACGTTCCCTATCTGGGCGGGGTTGAGGAGCGGCTTGTCAAGGGACAAGGAAGGCCACCAAATGTTCAAAGCGAGAACGGTTACTGCGCGGAAGTGCCAGCAGCGTCGCCGCGGACCTTCGTACGTGTACCTTTACAACCTGCCGGGTTAATGAGGGTTTGAAAAGGCACTGTTATGGTGCTTAAGGACTGAGTATTCACCACGACTCGGCACGTGAGGTTGAGCAAGTACTACCAGGGACCCTCCGTCAGAGCAGCTTGCAGACGTACGCTTCAGGCTTTCAGGAGAATCCTATCGAGGGCTCACCATGAGGTTGTGGTCGACACCCCCGGTAACGATCCAGTCGCCCTTCGCGCTCGCGCCCACCGCTGACGTCATCTCCGTCATGCAGTTGACGGAACCCGAGTGGCCCAGTCCCCGCATGCCCATTGACGTCCACGCCCACTCGCCGGCCTCGAACGCGCACTCCGACCTGCAAAAGCAATTGTGAAAAACAAGAATTGTATTGCAGCTTCGGAAACGATGTGTCCCAAATTGTGTGCGGTCGCACGACTAGATTCACCAGGCATTTATTATGCTGTTCAAGAAGACACCTTCTTGCCTCCAACGGTCGTTTACGGCGACAAAGAGGGGGTTCATTTGCCTCGCTTGACTGGCTTTTCAAACCTCTGGTATATATCAGTCCAGTCTGACAGTTGCAGTTTTAAAGCAGGTGCAAATTCTCGAAGCTATTAGCACGGCTTCGGCAAGGAAGCAACAACTGGGCTTACGTTCTATCGAACCCGGTATCCACAGGGGCTTCCGGCGGATATGACGAAGTCCGCCGTTCCGCTGCCTTTTCCAGAACGGAACTCTTCCGCCCTACCGTCCCCTCCGGTTCCGCAACATCCGTCTCCAACAGTCTGGAAGACTTCGTCCGCTTCGTCCGCTTCATCAACTTCTTATGCTTCTTCTCCACTTCCGTTCCGGTCCGCTCGGACTCCGTTTCCGTTGCGGAACTGCCGGCAGCCTCGTCCGAAACGATCGGCAGCGTATTCACACCGCTCTCGGACGCGTCCGAGTCGCGCTGCTTGGACCGGGTCGTGCGGCGGCTCTGCCGCGAAACCCTGCTACTTCGTTCGGACGTGGAAGCGTCTGAGAGCCCACTTAAGCGCGGGTTATCCGCAACCTCCCCCGCTAACCCATCCTCGCTCTTACCCCACCCCATGACGATCTCGTTGCCATCCATCCCCGGAATCAAAATCTGGTTCGACCTAGTTTTAGCTGCCCCGCTCGGCCCCGGCCCGTTGCCGACGTCATTCTCGTCGCCGAACCCGACCCTCACAGCGCTGCTGCGCCGCCGTGCGGTGTCTCGTGCGCGCGCGCTCGTGCGCCCATCTCCGGAGCTCTTTACTGGGAAGCCAACACCGCCGGCGCCGGCTGAGCTCGAGCGGCGCGCGGGCGCGGCCGCGGGCGGCGTCGCGAGCGCGTCGAGCCCCGGATCGCTGACGGGGCTGTCGGCGTGGTCCTCCGTCAACAGGTAGCGCTTGCTGGGGCGGCGCAGCAACTGTGATGCGGGATGCCGTCATTTGAGAAAAGTGACGTGAACAAGAGGAAGAGATCTGGAAGATGACGTTAGCAGGGCAAGGCTCCGGGCGCTGCGTGCTTATGCGCAGCCTTCTCTGCCAATCAGTAAGTGAAAGCAATAGATGGTGGTCAATGGGAGGCTTGCGACGCAAAGCTGACAATGGGGGCAAATGCGAGCAACGAAGGCAACGCCGAGTTTCCAACCAGCATCTGTTATAGTCAATAAGCATTATGCCCCTTCTTTCTTCCCTACACCTCTGTCGCCTGCAATCCTTCGTAAGGACCACTGCTTATCGACGGCCGGGCAAAAGGTTAATCATGAGACGTGTTTCATCATTTCATCCATTGATTGGGAATGATCAACGGCCAAGATCGCACCTTGATGGTGTCACGCCACCTGGCACGCCAGCTGACCTTCTGCGCCTTGCCGTGCTCCACGGATGACGTCACCTCCGGGACCGCCTCCAGACCTGACGACCGCCGCCGGGGCCATTTGCTGACGTCACCGTCCGGCGACGCGGCAGGGCGCGGGAAACCAGAAGAGTCGAGCGGCAGCACCGCTGCAAGAGAGACACGTGTCAACGCTCATTCGAAGCGCTTCTTCTGAAGCTTGCCTCCTCGTTTCAGAGGTTGCCCTCTTTTGTGGCTTACAGCATGAACAGCATGAAGGCTTGCCTTTGTTGCATAAGAAGAGGGCTACACGTATCTGGTTTTCAAGCGATGGATTACACGACTTGGCTTCGTCCAGAACGATGCTTGGGGCTAAAGTTGGCATGAATTATGCAACACTTACAACTAGTATCGAGCTTGGTCGCCGAAAAGCTCACCAGGAGAGGGAGGCGCCAACGGAGGGAGGGGCGACACGTTGTTAGCGCCAGCGGGCAGACGTGGGGAGGGGACGGCACTGCGAGGCAGGCCGTGCGGCGTGGAGGCATACGAGTGGGGGGAGTTGGAGAAGTACTTGGAGCCCCCCGGAGTGTTCTGGCCAGACGAGCCTGCAAAAGAGGAAGGGGGGTGACACTCAGAATGGTAGGAAAATACCAGTTCTGCAGAATCAGCCGCGGCAGTTGAGTTCTTGTTTGAGGATCGCCGTGTGTTGGAGAAATCATTGGAAACCGAATGAGCGACGCCTTTCTTTAGCTGACTTCGAGGAACAAGTGTCGATGCGGAAAAGGGTTTTATTGATGTGCGTCTCATGTGCAACTCTCAGCATAAGCTTTTGCCACAAAGAGACTGGTGTCCAAGATGTCCAATACTACGAGATTTGAGAGCAGATTGTTTTCGGAAGTCATGAAGGCTGAATTCAGCTCTGAGGTCTCCAAATTGACACATTAAGTCTGAACCCTTCGAGGCTCCGAAGCGTCTGGCCAAAGCGTTTGTCGAACTACTGCAGTTAGACTTAAGTCTATGAAGGCTCAAAGGGCCTAATGGTTTGGAAACTGAGGGATTTAAGCGGCGCTCACTGGCGGCGCGCGGCGTGTTTTCGCGGCTGGTGATGGGCGCGAGCGGCTCGAGGGAGTTGCGGCGGCTGCGCTGCGAGGGGGTGGGCAGGGCGACCACTGGAGCGGACAGCGGCGGAGTGCTGCCGCCGGAACCGGAACCGCTGTCGGAACGGACCACAATCCAGCCTGCAAAGTGGACAGCAAGAAAGAGCCTTTCTAGGATAGGTATCTAGATGCAGAAGAATATTTTGAAGCGGAAAAGAGCTGCACATACGGAGTCAGGTCTTGTCATGCCCCACTCTCGTGCGAAAGCTTCGATATCGGGGCGTGAAGAACGTATAAGGTGCTGATGACACGTTGCCAGAGGCTTCGCGAAAGTGGGTGGGCAAAAGGAAACGAAGATGGATACAGACAATACGAAGCAACGGCTTGACTTGTTGATAAGTGGCGGCGCGTTAATCAGTTTCACGTCCATCCCCCTCGGATAAGAATTGCTTTTCAGTTTCTGGATGGCAATCTGGCCATCGACCTATTTATCAGTGTCTCAACGCAGACAAGAATTGCTTCTAAGGGGACACGTGTCATCCTGCGCGCAAACAAACACCAGCAGAAATCAAACTGAAAACTTGAGTACCACACGCGATACTCTGTTCGGAAGTCCGCTTACCAGCAGTTCTGGGCGGCGACAAGAACCCGTTCATCCAGCTCGCCTCCAACGCGGCCGCGGTCTCCTGCGCCGTCCCGTATTCCCCACCGCTCGACCGCCGCCTCTGACCGCCCCACTCCTCCGCGCCCGAAACCCTAAACCCTTCTCCCGCGCGCTCGCGGCTGCTGGGGCGCTTGGCTCCGGGACCCGCGTCGTTAGCGGTGCTAACCCTCTTTTCCGACCCGAAAACAGCCGCCCGTAAGCGCGAGCCGATCTCGCTCGACTCCCGCTTCTGCATGTGCTGTGGGCCGTCGATCGTGCTGTTGAGGCGGTCATCGGACGGCCGCCCGTAGCCCGCCCGCCCAACGACCTGGTCGCTCTGGGTGCGCGTCAAACCCCCGCCAACCCCCCCAAAGATCGCGGCCCTGACACGTGACGCCACGTCAGCATTGCCCTCCAACACTCCCGCGCTCTCTGCTCTCGGGCGCCGCTCCTCGTTGGGAAGCAGCGAACCTCTAGTCCTTCCCGGGCTGACGGGCAACGCGCTGGACGAAAGCGCACTCTCTAGACGGGTCGGATTTGGCTGGGGCTCCGCGAAGCGGCTAGGGGTACCCTTAAACGTTCCCGGCGGGCCCTGGGGACTGGTAGGCGTCCCGGAGATCTCTAGACGGCCGTCGACTCTTGGAAGCTTAGAGCTGCCTTTGGGCGACGAACCTTTTGGCGAGGTCACTTCGGGAAGCGTGACCGAGGGGCTTGGGAGGACGGACGTCGTGCTGGCACGTGTCCTCCCCGTATTGGCTATCCCCATGTCAAAGTCTGCTGCAATGCTCACCTCTTTGGCTCGCGGCGACCCATTTGCAGTGTTTCCTTCCCTAGTTCTGGGCGACCCGTTCATTGCAAAACTGGGGCTGATGGTCGCCTTCACGCTGGTCGGGCTCAGCGAGGACGGCCCTCGCAACTTGCTCGTCAACTCCGTGTGGTCCAGCGCGTTCGTTCCGAACGTGGGGGTGTTTCTGCCCGAGTTTGGACCCCCCGAAGACGGGGACGGCGGCGAGCTTATGACGGGCAAGCTCGAGGGGACGGCGATTGAGAGCGGCTTCCCGCCGGGCGACGGCGGCCGCAGGGTTTTGAGGTTTGAGGGCACCATGGTCGGGAGCTCGACACGTGGCTTCTCGCCATTTGACCGGGAGGCGGAACCGGGTCTCGGCTGACCAGGCACAAACCCGGCCTGGTCAACATTTTCTGCGGGCGCCGCAGAAGAAGCCCCCGCCTCGGTAGCCGCTCTTCGCGCGCGCGGCGACGACTTGGGGCGCCCGTTTGGCGCGCTGGAACCTTCTAGCGGGGCGCCCCCGCTTGAGGAAGTGGGCAGGAGTCCTATAGCTTCTGCTTCGAGGTTCTCGGAGGAGCTGAGTGAGCGGCGCGGGGTGGGAGCGGGCGTGACAAACTCGTGCTGCAACAGGCGCTTTGCCGACCAGCGCATCGCAGGGTCCCTGGGGGAACACAAAGAGGTTGGGAGGTTTAGAAAGAGGTTTGGAAAATGGATTCGTTCAGCTTTTCCAAAACTTGGAGAAGTAGAGTTGACAATATCTGGGTGGATATAATGAAGACGAGCAGATCAGAAGAACAAAGGCAGCAAAAAGAGTTGCCTCTTTCTTGTTTCAAGAAGCGAGAACAACAAGGAAGCATCAACCAGACCCGAAATCTGGTACTTGGACGCATTCTTCGATACGTTTTATGCAAGCAACAGCTCACTGACTACCCACGCTATCCGTTCTGATCACCTTGCACACTTGAATCCATAAGTGCACCGATTATCGCAGGCAGCGCGTAAAGACATAAAGACGTAAAGACATGCGTTTGCAGACAGCCTGGAAGAGCCCGGCTTCAGATCCGCACTTCTGTATGCAGTGCGGAGGCAACGTCTTCCCGGTAGGCGACGGTACCTTTCTAACTCTTACCACTTGAACGCAAGAATCATCAGATCAAAAACTCGAGGATTTCACTGGAACCAACTATTAAAGTACTGAAGTCAGACAGGCAACGACTACAGGGTAAAACCAAAACAACACACCAATGATAAGACCACTCAAGTCTGCGAGCTCACCTCTGCATGCAGTGGGACAGAAAGTCCTTGCCAGCTGGCGAGAGCTCAGTTGGCGGTACTGGCGTGTCGTTGGAGCAGCCGATGTGGTACAGCACAACGAACGGGTTCGCGATCTCGCTCCAGGGGGGCTTGCCGCTCGCCATTTCGATCACGGTGCACCCCATTGACCAGATGTCAGAGGGAGTGCCCTGCCCGTTTTGTTGAATGACCTGTAGCAAAAGGGAATCATGTAATCAGCGCGGTTGAGTTGCAAATTTCAAAACAAAGTGTTCGGCGACCTTTCAACCCGGCCTTCAAATGGAAAAAGACTCTCTTTCGTCCAACGGAATGGTTACTCTAAGGACGACCGCACCATGGGTGCCACATTCGAACTAAGACGAAGAGCCAGAAAGACTAGTTTGCCCATTTCATTGCAAAACGTGTTGAGAAATATGTATGCTTTGTGTCTACAACTCTCAAGAAGCAAGCCGGAAACCTTCCAGTCTTCTTCGAGATTTAGAACGATAATGGCAGTGCTGTCTTTTCTTTTCGCATGCAAAGCACCGAGAGCTCAATCTGGAGTTCGACAGACCGCCACACATCTTCAAGAAGCTGTCCTCACAAAGCTCCTACCGAGCATAAGTGTCTCCGACAATGCGACGTCCCGTCGTCAGAAGGAACGATTGACGAGACTCTTCCTGCGTGACGTCATCTGATGACGCACCTCGGGCGCCATCCAGTAGGGCGTGCCGTGCAGGCTTTTGGCGGCCGCCTCGCCGCCGCTGCTCGCGAGCAGGCTCGCGATCTGTTTGGACGCGCCAAAGTCGGCGAGCTTGACGTTGCCCTGGCTGTCCACCAGAATGTTGCCGCCCTTGATGTCGCAGTGCACGATGTTGTGCCCGTGCAAGTACTCCAGCCCCTGCAAAACCAGGTAAGCTTATGAGTTGTTTTCACGATTTTACTTGGTTCTCATGAGATTGAAACGTGCTCCTTGCAAGTACTCTAAACCGTCTGAGCGAACACAAATGTCATGTTTCCAAATCCCGCAAGACAGTCGTGAATCTTGCGCAACTCCGAACTGCCGTTGAAGATTCTTGCGCACGTTCAAGCAGCTGCGCTTACCAGATTGTTGGGGTAAAGAGCCCCGTTGCAGATACCCTACTGAAGGAATGGTTACTAACTCTCCGCGGTAACGGCTAAGGTAAGGGAGGTCAACTGTAGATTGAAAAGCACAACTCGTGAAGAAAAAAGGACCTTACCAGCAGGATACTCCGCGTGTATCTCCGTATCGTGGGCTCTTCCAGGCGGCCCCCGAATCGTTTGATCAGATTCGCGATACTGCCTGCAAAGGGCAAATGATCGAACTCAGTCCGCGTAGACCTGGCCAGCACTAACAGCAGACATCGCTGAACCTTGAGCGCTCTGCAAACGCTTTCGCTGAAAGAGAACTTGACGAAAAACGAAAAAGATGTCGAGAATGGTTCCCCATGAGAAAGCGTCAAGGAAGTACGCTTTCAAATCGTGGGTTGGCGCCCAAACGACTGAAACGACAGAGCTCGAGAAGACAGACTTGCAGGACCACTGGAAACAGAGAACTTCTCACCTCCGGGCATGTATTCAAGAAAGATATTGAGGATGTTCTCCCCCGCTTCCGCCGTCCGTTCCGTTCCCAGGTACCCCACGATGTACGGCGACCAGAGCCCCCGCAGGAGCTCCAGCTCGTTCTCCAGAGCCGCCATCTCCTTTTCGCTGCGCGAGTGCCCGCTCGCAAACTCGATCTGCTTCACCGCAAACAGGTGCCCCGTGTCCTTGTTCAGCGCCAAATATACCTGAAATAGAGGCGTGAGAATTTAGTCCGCATCTAGTTTGTTCAGCGCCAAATACACCTAGAAATAGAAGCGCGACGAATCAATTTGTATCTTTCTTGTTCAGCGACAGATATACTTGGAAAGAGAGGCGTGGAGAATCAATCGCATCTTATCTGCTAAGCCACAGTTACACCTGGGAAACGAGGGCGTGGAGGATCAGTCCGCATGTAATTTGTCCAGCGCCAAATACACCTGGAAACAAAGTCCTGGGGTGTCAGTACGCATACTCAAAGTTCGGCGCGCTATAAATGAGGGGACAGAAACGCGCGTCTTCGTTGGCGCCGAAGTGAGCGGCCTCAAAGAAATGAGTTCTTTTGAGGACCAAGGTCGAAAGTGCGACTGGACATGATGACGTGGCAAGGTTTAGTACGAAATCTTGCTCTTGGCGTCTTCTTGACCAGTTGTTGATCGAGAAGGCCCCCCAAACCCCCGAACCTCGCCCCGCAGGTTCTTTCCACAGCATCCCCGGCTCCAGGGTCGGCCAGGCTCGAGACTACTCATCCCCTGCTAGATAGAATTGAGCTGCGCCTCTTCAGAGCAGAGATCGGCTCGTCTTGCTGATAGCCGTCCCAGTTCGTCTATCCCTTGCTTGATACTCTATAGTAGCAGCGACGTAATCTCACGGCCGCTGCCTGTGATCTATGGAAACGTCCCGTCAGAAGGTGTCTCATTTCTGGGACTGCCTAGCCAGGAAGCTTTGCGTGGAATCAGCCACGTCCGATAAAAACCCAGGCGCCACCGTGTGATGCGCTCTGATGCCCCACTTCATGCTTTTTCAGCTGCTCACTTCCGTGCGAATCACTTTAAAGGTGTATCAAGCTTGAAAGTCCTTTGTAGCGTCACATCTGAGTGGCCTCATAAACGAGCCACCCTCAACACAATCCGGAACGACAGGTGGTTTCTCTTCTGAAAGTCCCAGACAAGAAGCCTTGCTTCATTCTGCCCACCTTGCCAAACGCGCCCGCCCCCAGCAGGTTCCCTTTGGCCCAGTTCTTGATGGGTGCTCGCACCGGCTTCTTTTCCTGCCCCTCGTCAGAATCGTACTCCTCGTTATCCTCCGAGTCCCGGTGCCGCCGCGTGCGCCTTAGCCGGCTCGGAGGGGGGTCCGGTTCAAGGGACGGTTTGACGCCGCTCTCAACACGGGCAACCGCTGCTCGGATTCGCTTCCGTTCCTGCAGCGGAATGGGGTAGGTGGGTGTGCATGGAATGAGTGAACCTGGTGTGAAAGGTCTTTAGCAGATTGAATACCAGCAGTGGATGTTGGGCCCATGGCTGGGGCTGCTGTGGGCTTGCATGTGCGCAATTGATCGTGCGGCCTGAGTACTTGAATCTGGCGACTTGCAGCGTCTAAGACAGATTCAGTGCCAGTAACATGCTACGAAAGAATGCGAGCACCGTCAGAAGGCAAAAGTTCGCTAGCAGCCAGGCTACGTTGCAGCTCCGGCCCCCTTGTTGACTTGACTTGCATAAGAGCTCCAATCAAGCAGATTTAAAGGGCGAAAGAGCAAACATTGACTTTTTTGAGCTCAGCACGACCGATGTCTGACAATGGAAAGTAGCAATCGTCGGCCCCGCAAATCACCCAAACAAGTTTGCATTGCAGCTGTCGCCGAGCTCCAATCGGCCGCACTGGTCATGATCATCCGTGAGCTTAAGCGTGTTCAAAGAGATCCTCTCTGGATCAGAACCTGATTTTGGGCCATCGGCGCCGGCGCCCACGGCCCGGAACTAGTCTGGGCCCGTCGGTGCAGCGTTCAAAGATAAGCTCAGGTATCCACACCCTAGGCAAACCTATATTCTCAAAGCTTTGAGTTCGCGAGCGATTTTCCAATGAAAACCTGGATGTTATATCGCTATTTCGAGAATCGATTCAAGCTGGGAGCTGATGAACCCACTACATCTACTTGTAGAGCAAGGCTGAAATGATACCTTTCCAACATATCTGACACAGAGAATCAGAATTAAGTCGCAAAGCAAAGTCGGTTGACCTGCTCAAAGCTGCGTCATCGGGTCACCAACCGACTCGGGGTTATGCAACAAGCATACCAGACCTGTGAATTCTTGTGAGCAATTCTCAGTCACGGCAGCGTCTGGGAGTACGCTCAGGGTTAGATGCACAGCAGCAGAGTCAAATTGACAGGCGAGCATGCATCTTGCTCAACACCAAGCTCATTAAGAAATGCTGGGATGTCTGCAGGACGGTCTGGCAGCTCCCCCACACATTTAGATGTTCAGGTACTTTCCCTCACTAAAGATGACTTGATTCTTTAGAAAGAGCAACCGTGTTCTTCCAAGGAACAAAGCACTAGCCTTGTCTCAATGCAGAACTACGACCAGATTTTTGCTGTGAATACATGCACAGTGAAGCTCAACAGCACCGACGAGATGTAACCGGATTGCCGCTTGCTGGTGGTCCAGGCATGTAGATGCTGTCTAGGACAATCGTGCTCGCATCCAAGACAAGCAACGCCGTTCATGAATGCACCCCTCACACTTTGTTTCTAAGAGGTACAGGCAGGGGATTAACAAACAGCGCACGAGAGTGTATCATGATCCACATCAGTGCACAACTGTGGCAGGGTCAGGGAATTGGCCAGCACTGGCTAGCGACAGTGTTTGGTGGCTCGTTACGTATTGTTGGAACTTGAAAGGGACGCAAGTATCATGCCCGCACCAGAATGCAGTCAAAGCGCATGCCAAGTGTCCGGCTTCCAGCTCCTCTATCTTCACAGAAAAACCAAGGGAGAAATCAAATGCTGTCCAGCAAAGTGGCATCCATTTCACACCCAGAAAAGTGAATGTAGCCGCTCACCTGCTCTGCAATCAACACCGCCAGGCTCTCCCTGGGCTCCCCGGGAGCCGTCATTGGCCTCGGTGTCAGCCCCGCCGCCCTTAAGATTTCTATCTTCATGTCGAGTGTTCCCTCCATGCCCCCCCCCTCCATTCCAGAGGCCCCAGAATCCCCCCTCCTGTGCTTTGTCCCCCCTCCGGCGGGGCGCCCGCTGGTCGATGGCTGGTTATCCATCTGACCGAGACGCTGACCACACGTCAAACCCTAATGCCGGAATGCAGAAGGAAGGCACTCATGTCCCATTGAACCTAGTCTCATCTTGTGACATCGGTGAAGTAAGGGTCCAAACCCTAAATCTGACTGCTTGTACTTACTTTGCGGCGCCTTGCAAGAAATGCTTTGGGTGACTACTCCGCCTGGTTTTAAGGCAGCCAGCAAAACCCTACGTTCCAGTGATTCTGTTGTCAATTGCAAGAAAGCTTTTCAAGGCATGCTTTGCAACAACTTTCGAAGGGCAAGCACAGCGACATAGATCTCCTAACTCTTCGTACCTTTCACTGGACTTGTGAGCATACACCTCAAGTCCAGTTTACAGACCTCGGCTCTTGGAATTGTCCGCAGACAGAAAACCTTCTATCCCACAGCATTGTGGAGTTTGTTGCTGCTTCTTCAAATGCTGCCCTAAATCCTAAAGCTCAAAAGGACGCAGATCATATGCGGCATCAAGAGCTGAGCCTCTCTTTGCAGAACGATGCACCCCTCCTCATACCTATCATGCTGTCAGCTTTCTGGTTCCTGATTGCAGCGGTGGAATTGTGCTGCTGCTGCCTAGGCTTGATTGCAGTGCAACTGGCAAGACACCGCGCATCCTCAGATCGTACATGGTCCAGGCGCTGCATTTATTGCGCGCACACCCGATTGCAAGATTATCCGTCAAGGGTTTGCACAGAAATCGAGTCAAGAAATTGAAACTCGAAATTGAGACTCCATTCTAAGATAATCTTGAAACTCTATTTTGTTTCGCAGCCACTACAGGCTCACAGGCTCTTGGGCGCAGCCTTCACGCGAAATAGTATGTCAGTGATGCACCTGTATGTGCGTCTCAGTGTCCTAGACCTGATGTATGATCAGATGTGCGTACCTATCCTAGGCTGTTATACGTTTTTAATACTACGTAAGTACTGGCCCGGTTGACATCAGACTCCAAACAACGGGAGAACGGAGAGTCATAGTCCTTATGTGGGTGTAAGGACACACTGCCAGTAGTGGATTGGGCACCCAGCAGGCTGCAAAAGAAGGACCAACTCCCAAGGTAGGTAGTCTTATTTAGTCAATGTCGTGCTGCGTGCATAATTACAAATGCACGATCATGCATGCATGGTTTGTCCTCTTCCCCCTCACACAGCTGGTTCCATTGTTGACCCGATGTTTTGAAGAAGAAGGACCGTCCATCTAAATCTTACAAGGTTTTGAACGGTTCGATGTCTCTGATTAAGCCCTGGTTAAGCAGCTTGAATTTGACCCAGGTACAAGCAAGAGTTCAGAAGGAACTCCGGTTTCTAGACCGTGACAGCTGAAACCGGTCACACGTGATCACAAAACTGCTGGCGCACACTGACAGCACTTGTGAGGCATCATGCATGTGGCATCCAGATTCCTTTAATGACGTCAGCAGGCTAGCCGGTCTCGGGTAAGTCCGCCCAAGTGCCAAGCGGTTGCGGGCCAATCAGGGCGCTCGGTTTAGCATCTTTGGAGCTCATGCAGGTGGAATCTCCTTCGGCCTGCCTAAAGAAGTAGATTCACCTGACCAGTCAGCCTTAGGCTTTGGGTCATTCACAGGGTTTCAGAACTTTCGCATTCGATCAACTCGGACTGCACGAATGCACCTTACGCATTCAAGTAGCCGTGAAAAGCGCTTGAGGAGCCTTTGAAATTCCAGAACCGCAGAACCTAAGGGAAGCGTCATTTTGAAGCTGTACCCCCCGTAGTAACTGTTGAGCCCTTTTGAGTTGAGGACCCTTGTCCCCCCCCTTTCCCAACTTGCCCCACTGGCTCAAGTCCCAAGTCCCCCCCCCATGCCTTTCGAGCCTTGGAAGGTTTCAAGTCCCCCTCCCATATACAGGCTTGAAAAAGGCGAATTTCCTAGATGTATTGAGTATATTTGCCAGACTTCGATTGCACCGATCCTTACAGAGAGCTACTTGTAAGGTCTTTTTGACCATTTGGTGCAGAATTTGCCCATAAAACGCCCAAATCACACCCAGAATCCTACATTGGAACGAATCAAAAGGGATCAAAACGCCTAAATCTGCCCCTATGACCTTTCCATCTCGAGGCCTGCAAAGGCTCCCCCCCCATGTAGCTACGAGATTCTTCACAGGCTGCCGAGTCCCCCCCCCTTCATCACCCTAGGATTCAATATTGGTCCAAGGTACCCCCCCCTTAACAGTTACTACGGGGGGTACCGCTACAAAATGACCCTTCCCTAATAGTAAAAGATTTGCAGAGTGCTGGAGTACCTTTACTTATACAATACAGGAAGGATCGATTTCGAAATTCGGGGTTTTGCTACTAGCTATGGTACGAGACACCTTCGTTTCCAATGTGAATTGGTCCCGCAACTTGTGGCACCTCTGACAGGATTCCATATGCAGAGTGTGTTTCGATGTCAACATATATATTTAGGGCAGAATCCAGATGCCGCGCTGAAGATTCACCAATTCTCAGATGCAGGTTGCAGATGCCAGATCCCTAGCGTGCATTCAGCTGCAGAGAGACGAATTGAATCCCAATTGATCGACCGTGTGGCGGCGTGGGCGAGTGCACACTGCAAAGACGACGCCAATGCTGGCACAAGACAGACAAGTCCGAGTTGGAAGTTTGGTACCGTGGCTTCAATTCTGATTGCTCTGTCCATTGTCGACAAACTTTCACTGCTGGCCACCATGACACCACACAGGTCCCCGCTTCTCCCGGCATTTGCCAGAGATTGCGGACCATCTGCATTCGGCGCACAGGAATATGTCCTGTGCATTTCCCTGGTCCGACATCTCAACCTTTCAGCTCATCTTTCATTCGAGGTCAACTACACCATTCACCTCAGTCCCTTCTTCAGCTCCTTGTTCGCTCATCTTGCCGGCGAACACAACCTTTTAGTAGACATAAGCATCACCCAGAGGGACTCAAACTTCGCCGCAGTCCTCTCCTCCACTCCACCTCAGCTGCGCACCCAAGCGGTGGTGTGAATTGCCACCAAACCCTCACCACATTGCAAGGTTAGCTCTCCCAGAGCCTATTTGCACCATGGCGCAGCTCACGCTGCTCGCGCTGACCGCCATTCTGCTCCTGGCTGGGAATGCCGCCGGTGTCCGGCAGCTGCAACAGTTTGCTCCCAACGCGTGCAATCCCTTCTCCGACTACCCAAATCAGTGCTTCAGCAGGTGAGTAATACTTGACGATCTCGGGGGGGCTTATGCTCCTGACAATTGCGCTCAATGGCAGAAGCTCCACTTTACCTCCCCTGTGAACCGGTGCTTCAGCTGGTGGGGAAGTCGAGCCCTTATATTGGCAGGCGTCCTTAATCGCGCCAGGTTATCTCTGGCATCAAGTTGGTTAGCCAAGCACTGCGCTGCAGTCCCAATTTAGTGCCACGGGGGATTGCAGTCTCAACAGACTGCTCAGAAGGGGGCGCCGGTTGATAGTCTGAAGTTGATGCCCCTGTCATCTTGGCTTCAAAAGAGAACAAGAGTGTCAGGTTCAATCAGCATTATCAAGAAACTGACAGCGCTGAACAGAGCTGAGTAGAAGATCTAATTTCCAATCAATCTGACCAGTTGGGTCGGAACGGAGTTCTCTAGTCGCTCAATGAATGTACATGAATTCAGCATAGCTCAGAATCGCTAAGTATTGAAGCACAATCAAGAGTTCTTTTTCAGGGTAGCTTTCAGCGTCAGCGCCGCTATTTCACTTTGCTTTTCATAAGATCCCAGTCGCTTTGTGGGAGGACAATACTGTCGAATCTTGTTATACTTTTCTATCATGTCGGAACAAGTCATACTACAGTTATTGTTGTGGCTAAGTCAAACAATGTTGCCGGCAAAGCCTCTACACCCATGCAACACCCAACTGCTATAGCACAGGGAATGCCCCCTTATTCAGCTCCCTCCAAGCACCCACCTTATTGCACAGTTTATACACCCTGACCATAACCAAACCTCCATACCAAACCACGTTCTCGTATCCATCTTGCAGCGATGGGTCCAAGTCCATTTGCTGCTCCAACGTTTGCCCCAACGCCCCTTCCACAGACCCCGTCTGCGCCAACGGCGTCCCCGGAGTCTCCCCCACTGTGAATACCCCCAATGCAACCACCCCCGCCCCCACAACCGGCGCCCCCGCTCCCACTACCCCTTCTTCTACGACCCCCGCCCCCACAACCCCCTCCGGCCCGGCCCCTGCGCCCGCGCCTAGTTACACCGGCTTTCCTGAGTTCGCGCCCGCCTCAACCGCTGACGTCAGCAGCTTTGTGGACACTTACCACCCGACCCTCAAGTTTGCCGTGATTGGAGGTAAGCTAGTGTGGGCGATGGGAAGGAAGAATCAGGGCTGTTATGGACAACAGTTCAGCTCTGGCAAAAGGTCCCCTTAGTGCACCCAAAGTTTTGAGGATGTTTATGAGCGAGCGCCCATTCTTTGTGGGCGGTACTTCTGTGGGACTGGTGGTTTGCGATTGGGTCTTACAGCAGTTGGTCGTGACTGGCTGGGAAAGCAGAGGGTGTGGAAGATTAAGGGCAGGCGTCTGGATCTTTTTGGTGATTAGAGGCTGGACGACTTTCACTCAAAGTTGCAGGGTTTCTGGCGGACTTTCGCATATGTTAGACAGCAAGCAAAGCTCCGCTTACCCATTTTTTACCTAGCCATGAATAGGAAAGCTTTTTCCACTCGCAAAATCATCCTAAGGCACAACGTGGGCCGAATAATGTCCTCCAGTTGATGCTGCTCTTCCTACCCAAGAAAAGAAGGCCAGTCTTTGACTTGAAGTAGTGGTTGAAATATTATCTCCATAAAGTGAGTCAGGATCTGTGAGTCCCCGGACACTTGCCCGTAGGGGTTTGAGATGATTGGACAAGAATTGGCAGCTAGCATTGTGGGCTTAGGCAGGTTGGTGTGACAAACTATCCTGGCAAGTAAGAAACCACATCTCATTGCCGTGCCAGTGTTTTATACCTTTGAAAAGCACTGGAAGCCGTGTCGGAAGGTTGAAAGTCAGCAGAGGTACGGGCTGAATCTTGACTGAGCCTACCCCTGCAAAGCCAAGGGCTTCAGAAATTTTCTGTAGGTTTTTGCCAGACTTAGGGCCGTTGAACAATGCTCGAGGACTTCGGCTCCAGCGGTGCTATGCGATCAGGAGGTTTTACTGCAACAGTTGCCTAGTTTTCTCCAAATGCACTCGCCGTCTGATCCAATGCCTTCGTCACATCTCTTGCATATAATGGGCTCTGCGTCAAAGCGTTCCACAACCCTCTGCCACTCTTTGCTTTCGGAAACCCCCCTTCTTGGTAGGTCACCTATCTTCTTCACGGATTGAAACCTTTTCCAAAGCCTCCTGCTAATCAGCTCTTTTGACCCCCTCCTGCTAACCAGCCTTTTTCTAACCCCTCCTGCTAACCAGCTTTTTTTTAACCCCTCCTGCTAACCCGCCTTTTTTGACCCCCTCCAGACGTTGGCCGCATCGGCGCCCCTGCCTCCCAGGGCCTTGACCAATGCCCGACCTCCCTCTTCCCCGACAACAACACCGTTGGTGAGCCGCAAATTCTTCCTTCTGCCAGTCGCTCGCTGCGGTTTTGCCCAGTGTCCGATGGTCTTTCACGGTGAAGTCTCCACATCACAGATGATTGGCTCGCAATCTGCTGGAGGCACTGCTCCTTCTGGCCAGACGTTTGTGTCAGGCTATCTTGCGGAGGCTGGCGGCTTGCCGATGATGTCTCCAAGTCCTTGCTTCACACATAATGGTGGCCCTGCGCGCTTATAAAGCGAGAGAACAGTCTAGAGCATGCAACTTCTTAGAAGAACACACGTCTCTTCTGGGCGCTCGAAGTCTACTGACCAGTCCTTTCTGTATCATCATCTATCACTAATGCTTTCAAAGTTATTCAGGCGGCAGGTTCGCTTTGTTACCGAGCATACTGTCTCAGTCTCCTTGCACAAACCGAGAGGCGTAATCCCGTTGTTTCGGCGGGATCTTTCTTTTCCTTGGCTTTAATCTCGTTCTTCAGAACCACCTACTACCATCTTTACAAGCCTTTCGAGGGCCAATAGCCCCTTCGCTGCAAATAGTGACGGCTTCTCATGCCGAATACTTATGAGCAAATCAGAACTAAGAATCACGTGGCGCTAACGTGTGGATGAAGGATGAATCTTGTCCAAACATTGTTCATTCTCTTTCTTCCTTCTCCTCCAGCCGGTCAATACCAGCTAACGACCGCCAAGCTCTTGGCTGACGTGTGCGACCTCAACAAGTGCTCTTTCATCGTCAACACGGGCGACAACTTCTACGAATGCGTGAGTGCCGCATTTTCAGTCTCCCCTCTGCATGTCCTGAAATGGAGCAAGCTTGGTTGTACTTGAGCTGCTTGTTTCTCACGGGATGCTCCACCAATCGATATATGTGACTGTGTCGTGAGAAAGAAAGGCCATATTTTGTGGTAAACACAGCCGCTCCCTCAACCGCGGAATGAAGGACGCATCTCTCCGTACACAGATCGTTGAGACTCCCTCAGAAGCAACTCGATTCTTCTGAACTCAGCACAGAAATTTGTCTCAGCCCGTCTCCTTTAGCACGCAAGGAGCCACCGCTGTTTTGCGAAAGGCCTACTTTCTGCGTACAAGTCATCTGAGAGTAAGAGGAGTCAGTCGTGCAGGAGAACAGTGATTCTTTCTTGTCACGATCAAAGATGCCCTCATTGCTGTGTGTCCTGGCCACAACAGCCGCTTTCGAAACCGGAGTTTCCACGTTATCTCGAGGGCTCAGAGGCACTGGCAGAGCAGACGAGATACTAGTACCCAGTGGCCCTAGCGCGGACGGACCAGAAGCAAAGTTGCATCGTTGCCAAATCGAAAACTTTCTTTCTTCGTGATTCAGGGTGTGTTCCTTAACCCGCCTCGAGAACGAGGTTTGCCACGTCTCCGTCAGGGCTGAACCACTTGTGCAAGACGAGATACTGGTTCCAATTGCCTTAAAGAAAGCAAAATAAATGCGCCATCCATACAATTCATCGCTTTTTCTGGGTTCCAGAACGTTTATCCGGGCAACAACCGCCGCCTAAAGAACTTTATTTGTCATGAGGCTGAGAGACACAGCAGACAAGATCGTAGGACTTATTCCCCCTAGCACAGACAAACAAAATGTATCGTCTTCGAATCTAAGAGTCCACTTCCCTTTTGATTTCCAGGGCGTTTACTCGGGCGACAACAGCAGCATAAGTACGACCTTTGTCATGAGGGCTGGGTAACATAGAAGACGAGATAGTAGGAACCAGTCAACCCAGCACAGACCAACAAAATGCATCGTCTTCAAATCTTGAAGCCCACTTCCCTTCTGCTTTCCAGGGCGTTTACTCGGGCGACAACAGCAGCATAAGTACGACCTTTGTCATGAGGGCCGAGTAACACAGCAGACGAGATAGTAGGACCCATTCGCCCTTGCAGAGACAAACAAAATGCATCGTCTTCAAATGTTAGAGCCCACTTCCCTTCTGCTTTCCAGGGCGTATATCCCGGCGACAACAGCCGCCTCAAGAACGACATCTTTGACGTGTACAACCCGTACGTGTCCCTGAGCAACCTGGTGTGGCACTCGACGCTGGGCAACCACGACATGGTCATCGATGGCTCCATGGAGCAGGAGATGTCCTTCAACAACCCCCTGTGAGTACTCTTTCAGCAACGGGTCCCAGGTTTTCTCGTTTCAGCTCAGAAATGTGCGATTCCAGTGACCTATTTCTCGTTCTCCTATTCAATAATAATAGGCCTGAAGCGCGCCGATCCTCCGTGTCTTTCCAACAATCGGAGGGAGTGTTTCTCAGAACAGAGAGGCGGATTCGTTCTTCGTGGTACACTGATCTGGGCGTTCTTCCGGTAGATCGCCTGTCTCGACTGTCCGAGAGTCCCTCCAATCAAAAACCGTTCTCTACTCTCTTTCTTCTTCTTAAATCTTTCAAGGCGGTTGTCTGAGCATTTCGTTACGATTGTGTGTCTCGATCTTCGTCATTGTAGTGGCATTGTAGTCGTTGTCTCCATCGGCAGAGCGACAGTCAGCGAAATGAGCGGTTGTAGCTGACACAAAAGTCAAGCATAAACAGCTCGCTTTTTTTAGATTTGCCGCTTGAGAAGCGGTCACGATTGGCGTCCACGAGGGACAGGGGTCAACGATGCCCAAAATCTCTTTTGCGCGCAAGAAGAGCTCTCGACTTATGGACCCAATTTCCCTAAGCGCAATCTTATCAATCTGTTCTTGACTGGACGTCTCAGGACCCCTTCTTCCTCACGCTGACCGCGTGACCCTAGATGCAGCGCTGCGATCCGCCCTTGCCACACTTCTGCAGCGGCCGCCCAATCCCATATCCCTGCCTCGAGGGTTGCCGCAATATGCACGTGGACTCATGGCGTGCGGGCGTCCTCTTCATCAGATAGATTCTCACGAGCAACGTCCTCTGACGGGCAATCTGCTCGGCTCGCGCAGTTACTATCTCCCCCTGCCAATTTCGTGACGTCTTCCCAAGTCCACCATCGTACAAGCGCGTTCCACAACCTCCTTCCAGTGCTGATTCTCGCTGCAACCGAGTCCGCACAAACCAGTCTGCAAAGTTGTTGCCTCACTGACAGCGCGCGCTCGCCTCGCGCAGATGTTACCTCCCCGCCGCCAAATCTGTGCGCGACTTCAGTTTCGAACGGCGTTTCCACTCCACACGGCATTGAGATTCAGCGCTTAATGAATGCTCTTCAATCACAGAAGTATGCACAAGCAAACCACAAACTTCTTAGATTGTACGCCTGCGTTGCGCAGGTGGTATCTCCCTGCCGCGAACTTCGTGCGCGACTTCAAGTCCAACGGCGTCGTTGTGCGTGCCATTTTCTACGACGAGAACCCCTGGATTGCCAGCTACAACGGCAAGGGCAAATACGACAAGCGCTGGTATAAGCAGCACGTAAGGACACGTGCCCGCCGTTTGACCATGTCCGCTTGCCGATATTCCGTTTGCTCCATATCTGTTTGTCTTTGTTTTGCTGAACATTGGTCCGAATTGCAAATCTGCGTGCTAGCCAAGGAGCGCTTTTCAGTCTCGCCCGTATTATTTCTTACAAGCGTGGAAATTTGTAGCTTTTCAGTCCCGAAACAAGTATCTACAGAGTTGATCCAAGTTAGGATTAGAGATCCGAGCTCAAAATATGCTTGTGCTCCCCTTTAAGCAGCTCCCGATCCGACCAGGTGATTTGCCAATAAGTTCTGCCTTACAAGAGTCAACCGCTTCTGACCGCCCCTTACTCGACTTCTAGGTCAATCATTCCCGTCTCCTTCCACAGGCCGTAACAGATCGTAAGAGCCTTGCTTTTACCTAACCGCCCCTCAAACCAACCTTCCATCACTTCTCCCCTCGAGCAAGTTCCAACCTTATATCGGACCCCCTAAGGTGAGACTTCCACCTTTCTAAAGCCGTTGACCGCCCCCTGACCCAATTTTTCTGCCCTTGCAGAGCAACCAGGCATACTCCGACGCCGTTATCGCTTTCATCGAGAACGCCCTCAAGACCTCCACCGCGGCTCACACCATCCTAGTTTCCCACTACCCCCTCTTTGGAACCGCCGTAGAGTACGGCCGCACCGCGTCGGCCGGGCTCTACAACTTCTTCCCCCGGGTGAGGGCGCCATCTTTACTTGAACGTAACATTCGTTCTGGAGGATCTGTAGGAAAAAGTCCAAACACCAAAACTTGCACTAGAATCACGAAGTAGGTTTGCGTTTCGTGTGGCCGGCATCTCTTCTGACTCCTCCGAGGAGTCTGTAAAGGTTTTTCATCTGCCGGGACTCGATTGTTTTTTGAGGGAGCGATGAATGGACCGAGAGCTAGTTGCTTTGCTACAGAAAGTGTCAGCGTCCGGCAAGGGCTCGCTTTTGAACTGTCTCAGCGTGGCCGCATCGCTTCCGTCGGGCTGGTCTTCTCTTCTCAAGAGAGCCCTGCTTTCATAATGGTTTTGAGGTTATTGGTGGCTAACACGTGGGTTAGTCGGTGTTTCATTTTTGGGTTATTTGACCTTCTTCATCGGCAAGGAGCACCTTTCTGAAGGCGGTTGGCCTTGGGTTCCCTCTTGAGCATATGAATCCTTTTTGTCTCTCTTTCACTGGCAGACATAGTCATTGCACTCAACAACCCGTCTGACTTTCTTTTACTGTAGAATAACTCCTCGCCAGTCATTCTCGCAGCGCCTTTGTCGGGCTTATTTACAGGGTCTCGCTCCGCAGAAAAGCGCGCAACCCACCACAATCCCGAGTCCGCCGCCCCTGAACGGCCACAAGAACAACCAGCTTTCAATTGTTTTTCGCTTGGGTGCCGTAAATTCTGATCTCAATCTCGGTTCCCGCTTATACCGATTAAATACCGCCCTGCAGGTGGTCGCCCTGATCAACCAGTACAAGCCGGTCGCCTTTTTTAACGGCCACGATCACATCCTGACTCTGGGAGCGCCAGGCAATTTCAGCAACGGCTTCACCAGTTACGTCACGACCGGGGCCGGTGCCCAGCACGGCTACTCCGACGCGTGCGGTACCAACCGGCAGTACTCCAACGGAGGCGCCGGCGGGTTCGTCGTGTGCGAGGCGACCGCCAGCACCTTCACGGTACGTACCGGCTTCTCTTGATCGTGGCGGTGTGCAACGGCTTGTTTGTCAAACTCGAAGTCCTGGCTGTTGACTGGCATGTGTCGGAAGAGATCATTGGTGACAAGAGTGCTTTGCTTACCTTCGTTTGTGAAGGACTTTGAAGGAAGTCGCTCCCTCCACGAGGCTTTCGGAAAGCCCGATTCCATCGAGGCGTCCAGGCAGCTGTGATAGCAATTGGTCAAGTCTAAACATTTTCTGGACTGAGAAAGAAGCGCAGCCGTTCGATGACCATCGAACGGAAAGAGTCGAGTGACGACCGCCGTGTCCTTCTCGTCACGTTGCGGACTTATCCAACACGAGTGAGGTCGCCATATCTCGCATTCACCAGTTCTAGCCTACGTTGATCAATAGCGTCACGTTATTTGGAGCGCACGGTGCGATCACAGCCTACTTCCGCGGAAACAATCCGTGTCACCGTGGCGAAGCCGAATCCCGGCCTCGTTTAACAGGATTGTTTTGGCCCGTAGGAACCATGGACGGTTATTGGCTGGCTATGGGCTGGTTCAAACCGGGTTGACTATCCAATTACCAGGAGGATTTGGCAGTAGCCAGCCTTGAAACGAGGTTCAAGCCCGGCATTCTGCTCGATATTACAAGAGACTCAGTCTGATATTTAACCTGGTTAGCTAGCAGCCAAAATCTTCTGTGTTTCTCCACTGATCCTGAGTGTTCAACGTTTCTTCGCAGATCAAGTATTACACCACTGGCCCTAACGTCGGCCAGATCAATACTGAGGCGGCCCAGTGCACGGTGACGTCAGATGGCGCCAGCAAGACCACGACCGTCGGCTCCGATTGCGCGGCCAACCTCAAAGCCACGCCCGCGGACGGCTCTGCGTGCTAAACCAAAAGTGCGCACTGTTTCTTCTGGCAATAAGAGGTTTTGCGCGTCAAATATGAATATGAGGTACCGTTCCGAGAAGGCGACCAACGCATCCCGTTTGGCTACATGCTAAATGGGCATTGATCTGGGTTTCCGTCATAAGTAATAGGATTGCGAAACAATAAAAGATAATGTCCGCTAAGTTATCGTGTTGAGCAATATGGTGGATATAGCTATCCCAGGGTCCGCTTGTTCGAGGATGAAAACTGGTTATATCGAGAGTAGACAAAATGGAACATCTGGAGACTTATAAGTAACTTGAGGTGGGCTAGCAGCCATCATATAGCCTGATCTTCGAATCGAATCAAAAGCAGGTCATGAGCTTAATGAGAAGCATCGCTATGGTGGCCACCGATTGATTGCAATAATTAATATTCTGACTGGTTGAGTGACCTTCGGAGTCACTTTTCTGGATTTGCTAATTGCACATGTGATCCCCCAGGTTCTAGTCCTGACATTCTAGCTGCTTTTTCTGCCGACCTGAGGCCCGCCGCAACATATAAGCTCTAAACCAGCACAAAAATGACATTCTGATTCGATCAGACCGTCTGAGAAGCCGTTTTTCAAAGGTCAATGAGCGTGCCAGTCCAAACAGGACTGAGTCAGTTTGAACGAGTACGTGTGTATGTAGTCCGCTCGGCCCGTGCGTGTTTCAAGTTTGAGTCGAGAGCAATCTCAGGCTATAATTGGGATCAAACCCCTATGGGTTTCAAATACTACGCATGCATGCCAGTGACTGTGATACCGTGCTGACCGTACAACTTTGCGCAACTTGTCATTCCGCGGCATGCCGCGACCGGGCATACAGTACGTGCGTGGAATAATCTGAAACGTCAATGACTGGATCGTTACACTATTGAAGCGGTATGCATTTGCCGCACCCCTGCCGCACCTCTTCTTGCAGCTCGTTGATGACAGTCAAGCAGTTGCTAGCTGTCCGGTCGATTGTTTACTTGAGAGGCGTGCCACTGCGTGAGAAAGAAACACAGACCAAGTTAGGCCTACTGCCTGCGATCTGCAGACGGCTTTGCATGATCATGATGACGTACGGGTCACTGACGTACCGGGCCCACGAAGAAAGTCCTTCAGGTATATAAACGCTCGTAAGAAGGCTGAGCTGGCTTGACAATCAACCTTGCGCAGAATCTGCACGTAGTAGAACTCGGAATACTAAAAAGATTGAAAAAATGACACAGCAAGTCGATATACGAACATTTCCCCGCATTCATTGTGGGCTCTAACTTTGTGTCATATTGTTCGAAATTGGGGCTACGTCTGAGAGTACTGACAAGGGTTTTGCATTATTCGCAAAGACGATTCTTAAATCTCGCTCGCACTCAGCAGCATAGCCTGTGCCAGTAACGTCGCAGGCGCTATCTCCGATTGATCATTCTTCGCGCCGCCGGCCGTCTTGTCGGAACGTTCTTCGCTTCCAACTTCGACACGTCCCTGTGACGTCGTCTGCCGGCAGCGGCGGCCGCATGGCTTTGCTTGCGCGACCGCCGCCAAGGCGTGGTTTACTACTACCGTAACCGCAAGCAACTCGCCCCACCCACTGGACCTTACCGGGTTGCAAAATCCTGCAAACTCTGCGGTCTCTGCGACGCGGCGCGGCCGCGCCAATCAGCCGATGGTTTCGAAGCTCCTTCGAAGCTCAGGCGCGCCGGCTTAAGCGCTTCCGACATTAGTGACCTGAATATATGTGGCATGGGAGCAAGATCATTATGAATCTGAATGTTGTAAGCTGATCCTTAATCCGCTATCTAGGCGCAAGTTGAAGAGAGCAACAGTTGTGAGCAACATGGAGGAAGCAAGCCAGTCCTGCCACAGAGTCGAGCGACTGCCCGACGGTATCCTCAAAAGGAATCCTTCAGTATCAAAGCTTCTTCATGGTCTTGGCATGATTACAGAATGTAACAGCTTTACCTTTGTGAAGACCAAGTGATTTTACGACATCAGCAACCATCAGATAAAAGCTTCTGTTGTGCGGATTGATGCATTTGCCTTGGGTTACGCAGCTACGCTTGAGTCTGGCTAGATTGCGACGCTATCTGCATGCTCGAAATCGCATTTTCTCGTTACTTACTCAATGCGCTTTTCACTTCCAGTTCCTTGGGCAGATGTACGCCCCAGGCGCCATCGAGGAACGCCTTGCCATGGGCACGCTCGAAGGGCTTCTTCACCGGGAGTACGTGGAGGGAACGGACGAGGACTACGAAACCTCCGGGCTCACGGAAACGGATTGCAGCTTTGAACGCTTCGGACAGGTCAGCTCCGACCATGGCAACCTGTTCTTGAGAGGGTTCCGTCAGGTTGTTGAGGTTGTATCCCTGTCTCTTGCCCAGGTGCCCACAGCCCTGTCGTGCGGAAGTGTCAGTCAAGCATCTTTTATTGCACGCAAGTTCTGCCAGCTTCTAGATCGAAAGCCCAATTCCGAATGAGGAGCTTGAAAGCCGAGTACATTCAGTTGGAACAAGCAGGCTCGATATCGACTCCAAGAATGTATCCAGTCTTTGTCTACGCAATGATGACTACAAACATTCCTCATCCTCAGACTGACTCCTGCAAGTTTACTTCGTGACCTCAGACCTTATACAAACAGTGATTTTCGCCAGAGGAAGCGGTCGGAACTTACGGGGCCTCGTGATATACTTCCAACCTTTAACTATATATCAAAATACATTGTTGCAGTTGCCGACTGAGTTACTGCAGTCAGATGTCAAGGCTTTAGGGGAGAACACTGATCAGCCACGCAGCTTGCCAGGCCGCCGGATGCTAGCTGCTGTCGCGCCCCGACTTGTCAGACACCTTTACGTGTCTGGCTCCCCAACGTCCGGAGGTATCTCTCTCCAGCGCAAGTAGGCGGATGTGCAGGACTTGCCAGCATTTAGTTTAGAGGTACTATTCGCTTCTTAGAGAACAGCCGACTCTATTTGGTGCTCAGAAAGGCACGGTTTCTGGAGTCGCACGCTTGTGCGCTGTGGCTAAGTATCTAGAATGCCTGTACGGTGTACGCTCAACCGTCTGGATCAGACTCGATCCCTCTATGACACTAAACGGCAACTCTGCGTAATAAGGTGCATCATTTGCTCGAACCTAAGGGCCGGGAGCGTGTACGATCGACGGTCATATAACCTTGGCCTAGCTGCCTCAAGATCGATTGTCGAAGCACATTGGCGGTTGAGGTTGCATAATTCATTATTCTGTCAGTGTAGAGCTAGCTTATAAGTTCATTCACTCCCTTTTGAACCTTCCAGCTTTTCATGTTTGTATTGGATGTAGTATCGATCCCGTGAATGCCAGCGCACAGCCGCATTGGGCCGTGTTGATTAATTACTGACAGTCGTTAAGTTCACCAATTTCATGATCATGCCACAGTCAATCTTGGCAGAAATATGCACGCCGGATGAGCGATCGAAGCTACTGCAGGACTGGTTGCTTAAGTTCCCAGCTTAAATTAGGTCGATTGACCTTCTGGTAGACTTTATCATAGAATCAGTCGGAGCGGACTGATTGAGTTCGAAACATGCATGCATGAGCCTGCACATACATCTGACTTTATGAGCGTTCAACGTTGAGTCCCGCGGCGAAATGCATACAGTGCTCGGGTATAAGTCAGTAACTACCACGTAGTACTAGTTACAGTTCAGTGTTGCGGCGCGCGCGCGCGCGGATGCATCACGCATGGCCGGCTTCCGACTCCTTATCGAGCCTACCAGATTACAGTAGGTTAATTCTCACCGCGAGTCAGTGGTTGCACGGATGAAGTCTGCATACGATCTAATTAAACTTGCTCGCACCGCAATATCGAATTGGGTGGCAGATCCAGCTAACCGAATATGGTTCTTTTGTAGAGCCCTCGACAATTTCCTTCTCGTGTGCTGCTCCACTTATGGTGAAAATGAGAGGTGCCAGTATCCGTCGATATCTGTAGCGCCTCACACACTCTTCTTCCGGCCTGGATTCATCAGCTTCTTTTCTCTCTGCACAAAGAAGAGGGCAGCTTGTTCAGTCCGTAGTTATTGCCGGCAACTCGGTGGCAGACACACGGTTTGCTTGGTTCGTAAATCTCCAGACCGACACAATATTGCGCATCGACAACGAAAGGGAACAGAACTGAAAAGTCTGCTGTTCATGCTTCAAGGCGTTTAGGACTCAATGTGCTTCAACTTTACAAGCTGTGTAATCAGAACAATCGAAACGGCACCGTTCGGGGCTCAACTCGCCAGAATCAGAAGCGTCCCAAAGAAAACCCACGAGCTTGCGTCTAGCCACCGTGCTTCGACCTTGGGAACAAAAACCTTCAGACTGAAAGATGCACAAGGAAGACCGACTCTCGAATCTTGCAGTTTAGCGGGTTGGAGACCACAAATGTTTGAAGATCTCATCGCCTGTGTCGGCAGCAAGCGAACACCATACGGATGCCTCCTCGTTTCCGGTCGCCGCAAGTAGCTAATCCAGTGTTCCCTCATCCAAAGGAAACCCACCTTTTGTATCTTTCGCTCCTTTTTGGCGTCCGCCCGCTGCTTCAGATTCGTGTTCCGCTTCTCTTGCTTCGCCTCCACGGCCTTCCGGTCTTCCGCCTTCCGGCTCTTCCTGTAAGCCGGAAGTCTCTACAACGTGAGCAATCTGAAAGAATAGCAGAAAACGAGGCACGAAAAGCACTGTACCAAGTTGCGAGGCGAATACGGAACACACCGTTCGGAAGAGCTTCCAGGCGCAACAAAGTGCCCCCTTTCGACTTCCCCAGGGATCGGCAGAATCACGTAGCAGGCTGACAACGGATCACACCTTCGCATGCTTTGAGACGGTTCGACCCAGAAGACAACCGGCAGATGAGCAGAAGGCACAACATCCGGTCTTCGACATTCCAATTTTCGGCCTTCCGACCCTCCTTAGAGTGGGGGAAAGGTTAAGGTGGATGAAGAAGCAGAATAGTTGTTGCTGCGCTTACCACTTCTTTTGGCTGTGCTCCCGCTTCTTCTCCTCCGACTTGATCGACTTTTTCAGCAGCTTCGGGTCGTCAAGAACCTGCAACAGCCCAATATTCCGACGTCAGGACTGGCGTCATTGCACAGCATCTTCAGATCGTGACGTCATCCCCGCTCAGGATTGGACCACCTGACAAAGACAACATGGCACTGCACCACTGCGATGACGTCACTTTCCAGCGGCTTCCAGTGAATGCGAACGTCACCGTCGGGTCGTCTGAAGTCAGCAGTCCGAGCGCTCTCTTACGACCTCTCTAAATCCGCAAGCATCTGCCAACTTGATTGACAAATTTGGGGGCCTGAATACCAACAAGTACGGCAAAAACTTTTGTCGAGGCCCGATTCGGAGGATTGCTTGCGCACACCGAAGGCATCTGGGAAGCACGTGGGAAGAACATAAAACTAGGATAAAGGCATAAGGGATTCCGAGCATCACCCGTTCTATCGTAACATTATACAGAAATTCTCGAAACCCATGGTCAACAAGCACGCCGCCAACAGGCCGCTTCAGTTCATCATAAAAGGTTTGGAACTTTCAGGAGGACGGAAGGGCTCGCCTTCTCTCCCGAAGCTCTCTTCAGCGACGAAGTCCAGGCGTGCTTTGCTAGCTTCTCCTGTAAGCGAAAAGAAACAATTTAGTGGATACGGATTTTCAGAAGGGCGTAAAAGCGGTGGTGCCTTTACAATCGTCGGCGTCACCTGATAGGGTAAAAGCAAAGAGTGTGCCACGATAACTCTATCTTAAAAAGAAGACTATTGGTGCAATGACGCTAGGCGGAGTGTCAATGATGGGGCTTCTCAGAAGCACGAAAAGTGACGCGGCTGAAAACAGAAAGAGAAAGGAGACGGCGGAATCGGTCGTACCTGGCCCTCCTTAGTGCCCGCCTTCTCTTTCAGCTCAGTCTGCAGAACGGTGGCCTGTAGAAGATAGAGGATAATTTAGGTGCTAATGATGACAATGCTTTGTACGACTGACGAGAAGCACTACATACCCGTTTTCTTAATCAAAATCAAGAAAGGAACGACGCTATTAATTGGACAGAAGGTTTGGAAGAATAAAATAACCGACGTAAAAATTTGATTTCTTCAAACATTTGGCAGACCAGAAACCATAGCAGTGCGCTGGTTCCACCATGCCTGAAAGGAAAAAGCATCGAAACACAACCAACAGGGAAGCGACAGCCTAGGCGTTAAAGCTGAGCTGGACAGAGTCTTTGAAAAGCGGCCACCTAAAGAAGGCCATCAGAATGAGTTTTCAACTAATTACCAAGGGAGGTCGTACGAACATAAGCTCTTGTAACAAATCCCGGCCGCCGATTAGCAGCCCAATTAACGTAAAAAAGGCTTCCAACCCGGAAATTTTCAGAAACAATCATTTCCAACGGCCTCACGGCAGGGGTCAAAAGCTTTAGCACACTGTTGAAGTAGACTCATCGGAACGGAGTAGGGGGAATCCTGCAAGTGGTCCGAATCATCCACCCTTTCTGCAACTAGATTACTCAATGCGGCAAAGAATGCGGGTTTGCAGATGCAGGCTCCCAATCGAGATGTGACCAGAAAAGGGGCTTCTAAAGGAGTGGGATCTGAGCAACAGTTTGCAGTACCGGAAAAAAGAAGCATACATATCAAGAACGCCGACAGATTGATACTTTTGCAGTACCACATACACAAGAGCTCTAACCCATGACTTTGCTAACCAGACAACAGAATGGCGATGGTTAAGGACCCTAGAATTGCAGAAGCGAGCAGTCACCTTCTTCAGTAGGTCCTTCTTCTGTTCTCGCTTGCCCTTGGCCTTCTTCCCTTTCCTGTCTCCTTTGTCGTCTCCTATCTCGAGCTTGTTGAACTGGATTGAAGGGGTGGCAACCTCCTGCATGACAGAAGACGGGAGGGTTAGCTGCCGCTGAGGAATACAAGACCCAAAACTGATGCTGGCTGCCACTTTGATACGGATACGCTTACCAAAGAGTATCAGATAGAATCCATGAGAATGCAGATAAGGTGTGCAAGAGAAAGGGCTGCAGAGCGAGACCGGAGCTCGACTGACAATCCTGAACGGGACGATGGAGCGACGGAAAGCAATGACGCTAAGCGGGAGCAGAACAACCAGAGCATTCTTCAAGAATCGTAAAGAAGCAAGGGATCCTGTGCACCCGTTGCTTCCAGACTCCTCTCTAACGGCGAGATTTCGCTTCCGCTATATTCGCTCGAAGGTGAGACCGGCCTTTTGTTTCTAACGAGTCAGCTCGCTTGAAGGCCTCAGATCAGTTTCAAGTCTTATAAGAACGTTCAAGTCCTCATGGCAACACTTTTGATCTTTTTGCTACCGCAGCCCCAGCGACAAGCACAGCGAAGAAACCTTTTGATTTTTCTAGGGGCGCCGTCCGTTCTGCCAAGGAATCAGCGCGGCACGCTGCAGGTCCAAGTACATTCTTCCTCTCAGAAGCCCGCTTCTAGGCAGTCTCCAATTTCCACCGCACAAATTCAGCTAAGCCAAATGGAGTCGCCTCATGACTCAAAATGGTGCATCCTCTAGGCCATCTCTCGCACCATAAGGGGCCAGTACCACTGATACTAGCGACTTACCTTGGATGGTTTTGCCTTTTTCGTTGGCCTGGCAACGCCCGCATCTGGCTCCACCTTCGGTATTTTACTCCCTTTTTCCGCTCCAACCTCCGATTTCACGCCCTCGTTCTCCTTCCGCTGTCCTTTCGTTTCAGCTACCTTTCCTTCACCCTTCCCCCCAGCTTTCCGCTTCTTATCGTTCTTCTTCTGATCACCGTCAAGCTTCGCAGGCCCCTTCCCGATCGCAGCCTCGCTGTCCTCTCCTTTCACCCCCGCAACTTTCTTCTCCGCCCCCCCCTCGTCCCGTTTCCGCTTCTTCTCCTTCTCCCCTTTCTTCCTCTCTTTCCGTTCCTCCTCCATTTCCCGTCTCGCTTTCAGCGTTTCAATCCGCTCATGCAACCTCTGCTTCAACTCGGAATGCGTCGCCGCACCCCCCCCTGATTCGCCCGAACCCGTGAGAACCCCGTTCTGAAACGCGACAGGAGCCTCGGGACCGGCGTTCGTTTCAGGAAGGGGGGCAACGGCGTCGGTCCCCCTGGCTGCGGCATCCTGCTGCGCCCTTTCCTTCTGAATCTCGAGATTGCTCTTGTAATTACTTGGGTCCAGCTGTAAGAGGGTACATGAGAAGACTTTCAAAAGATGGAGTAGAACAAAAAAGCAAACCTTTTAGACATGGCCTGATCAAAGCTGAGGAGCCCAGCCGAAAACTGACCCTCTTGGGAGGAGGCAGACAGACTCAATGAGCTTGAAAAGTCAAACTTTTGGACAGCATTCGATGTTGTCAGTCTCGGACAAGCTTTTGGTGAGTGCCTGGGTCGGAGTTCCTCAGAAGTTCATGAACAGATCCAACTTCAGAGAGACCAGTCTTGTATTGACACACATATATATCCCCCTTCAAGTCAATCGATCTGTGTCCACATGTTTGTATGCCCGAACCAGGGGCACCTTAGCGACCTTATCGACGTAACGCAGTATCAACCAGCAACCTCAGAGTCTGGCTAAGTTCACACGTTGTGCCAGCCTAATCTCTTGCCTAGCCCTTGCCCCAACCTTGTCTAACCAATGATGGCATGTCCAATTGCACCTTGCTAAGGCTTTGATAGGATTCAATTGAGAGCTTTGGAAAACATAAGGAGGGTCCTCAATCGGCCCCGGAACGAGAATACTGGAATAGGAATATCGGGATTTTTGGGCTCCAGGAATTGGAATATCGGGATTTTTTGGCCTAGGAATCGGAATATTTGGTTTTGAGAATTTTTTTTTCACGGAATATGGAATACTGCAAAATCTGTGCAGGAATCCGGGTAATTTGAATTCCTAAATCTCAAAAAGTTCTTGGAATCTGGAATATTGGGGTGGCAAGGAATTGGAATATTGCCCAAAATCCATCGAGGAATATGGAATATCCAAAGTCATATATTCTCGTTCCGGGGCCGATTTGCATTCGCACACTTTAAAGATCCGAAAGGAGGAAGAATTCCTTAAGAGAGAAGCCGTACGCCCCACCTTTGCTCTCTTTGCTTTCTTGACCCCCTCCTTGGCAGCAAGCTTGGCCTCCGGCGTTTTGTTCTTGTTGTGCATGTATTTCTGCACACAATCAGGAGAGAAAATCAGGTGTCAGAGGGACTTGGGAAACCACGAATAGCGAGGGCAAGATGCGTCCTGCAAAGCGTCGAGCAAGTCACGCAAAAGGACAGCGAGAAAAGAGCAGGAAGCAAACCCAAGTGTGAATCAAAATTGCAGCAAACAGCAGAATGAGTTTGAGTTCCCCCTCTGATTCGGTGCATTGAATTATTATTACTATGTTCATTGGCGATAGAGTACTTGTCGCTGCCTGTCTTACAGCGCCTTGACATCATCCTCCGGAGACCCGAGAATCTCGCGATGATTACTCAAACAAAAGAACAAAGAGCCTGCGCTTGAGCTGCGGAACTCTACTAACCTCACCAATACTTCTAGAGATCCCATACACAGATTTCGTTCGCCTCCTAGAAAGCACTCCCGCAAAGAATCTTCCTATGGGTGTTAATATGTCAAACATGACATGACTTCAGCATGACATATGTCCCAAAGGCTTACCCAGTTCAGTGCTTCATCTTCGTTCTCAAAGTAGAACTTGGCTGGCACCAGCTCCACCAGCTTGTCAAAGACTGGTTTAAACTTTTGGTCAAGGATAACCAGGGCAAAGAAGTGCACAGAGTGGAGATCTAGGTGCAATCAGAACAAAGAGACACTGAACATTCACGAGTGATTGTAAACGTCTGCGATAGTGAGACTCAATAAAAGTAGGAAGAAAATGCAAACGATACGAATGCGCCGCAAGATTGACCAAATTACGACAGAATGGTGGTCATGCTCTTTCTGCATCATTCTGGAGCAACCCGTGCAACTGTCAGCAGCTGAACCTGGAGTGGTTGCTTTCTGCCCATAAGAGTAATTCAACTGAAAACAAACAAGATAGTAAATCGTTCCAAACCCTAACACACCACCACCACCTTTTTCCTCTCTCGTTTTGACACTCAATCTCAAGGGCTATGCCGTTTACTGCTCCTGGTGCCTAAGCATCATCCTCGCGTGTCAGGACACAGAGCGCTTCAATGGACCATAAGCCCATTCAGATTTTCATGAGAGCCATGGTTTGCAGCTAACCGAGCACAACAAATGCACACCCTTTTTGGAGCAGCATTCCGCTTTTCTTGCTGAAGAAACTACGAAGCGCTATTCACTGCATTTCGACCCATTACCAGCATTACAGAACGGGAAAAGCGGAGCCAGGTTGCCAAACAGGAAAGAGAACCAATGGGTGCGAATGATCCTTCAATCACCACTAAGGCATCAACCCATTTCCCTAGGTCAAAGATGGGACCGAAGCACTTTCAAGAAGTTGCATGAAAAAATGTGTCAACTTTCAAGAAGATGCATGAAAAGCTGTATCAAATCAACGTTTGGAGTGGAAGGTAAATGTTCTCTAGAATGAAGGATACACAACGCGTCCTCATGAATCTTGCTTGCAGAGTTCGGCGCCGTCTCCATCTTGAGAGCTCTCCCCGGCATTATCTGCCCTGCCCGGGGGATTGCTCTGAGATCGCTGTCACTTGTTGAGGTGTGGAATGGTGGCACAGCAGCTAAAGCCTAAAGCGCTTTTGACAGTCGTTCCGAAACTTAAAGCTTCTGAAGTTCATCACAGAACACAGGACTCCAACGCCAGGCAAGCTGGATGCTGCTAACTAGAGGCACTGGCAGCTCGGAGACCATACCGTTACCGGATTGTACTACTTAGTGACTGACAGCTTGCGAGGCGGGGGGATCCCCCAGCTCAGGTAGACGGTGAGCTAGCAGTAGGAGTCGGTCACATGACCGACTCCTGCTGCATGCGACTCCATGGCATGCCGCCGGACATGTCACTGTCTGCACGACTGCACCATCAAGCCTGCAGGCTTGATGGTAGCCGAGCTCGGTGGATGATCTGCATGAAGGCCGCCTTGCCAAGTTGCACTCAGCTGGTAAGAGATTGACCATCATACGGTACTAATACCAGGCTTGGCAAGAGCTGGAGCAGCTAGGCAGCCCAACATGCATTCAGTGTTTAAACAAGCACTTCGAGGCTTGCCAAATCAATGAGTTGTCGTATCCAGCGGGTCGTATTTAGGCAGGCGCTGGGTCGAGTCCTCGAGTCCTAGCTCGAAAGACATGCGCTCAGTGCATATGTCACCGCGAGGGCGGGCCCTGCGGTCTAGCATAACAAGTGTAGAAGCTGAGCGTCACGTATGGGGCACGGAAGCGATCGCCCCAGCTCATTCTATAAATCAATGCATCAGTGCGACACGTATTGCATGCGACCGTTGGTCTGCATCCGGTGAACTTTCTATTGCGGAGCCTAGATCGACCGCCTGGCAAAACATCGTACAACTTATCCATATCGTTGAATGCGGCCGGGCCCGGCGCCGCATATATGCGTACTGGAATTATGGAGAAGTCCTCAGCCTGCACCGTACATGAAAGTGACTACCAAATCTCAATCGCATGAGGAGAGGATCCGCCAATTAAGAAGTGGCGCACACATGCAACACGGGGTTGCAAGATTCGCGTCGACTTGTGTAGGGCTGAAAGGGGGCCGGGCTCTTCTCGAAGGTGAGAACAAAACAAGTACTCAAACTTAAATATCAAATATGCATCGCCGTAGATTGTCCGCAACCGAAGACTTCACATTCAATTGGAACTGAGATTGAAATGGACGGAACATAAAATCAAGCTGTCTGACCAGACCGTCCTCAATGTCTAATGGAGCTGCAACCTGATTATGTTGCAGGCTGGCGTCAACCTGTGGACTAAAGTCTCTCGGTCATCGGAACGGGCGCCAAGCCCTTTGCCGACTTTCACACACACAAGGGTTGGATTCCCTCAGGATCTAACGTACATCATGCTACACATTCTAATGGACCGGTGCCGTGCAGAGAGCGCAATATTCTAATCCCGGCCCACTGCATCAGCCGGGCAGTTCCGCCCGATAACTCTCGGCTTCCACACGCCCGCATGGGCCTCGGTAAACGGAATCCCCAACTGCCCACTGCTATTCAATCCCATCACCACGACCTCGCCTTTGAAGGTCCTTGCAACCGTATGCCGGAACCAACTGGCTGCTATTTGTACAATCTTGTGGGGCCTCAAAACCTCCACTCTCCGCGGCTCAAGGGTTACTAAACCCCAGCCCTCCAAACCCAGCTCTCCGTAGAAGCAGCAGCCAAAGGAGTAGACCTCGCCCAAATCGCCCACCACGAAAGTGGTCAGGGCTCCAGCAGCGACCTGTAAAATAAAAAGGGGGTTCGATTTAACACTTGAATTAGCATATTTCGCGAGGTTTACATCGGTTTCCGGGAAACGGAACAAACTGCGGGTTCTCCTAAGGCGGCTCGATTTGACCAAAGAGATTGGCTGCCAATGCACATGTGTCAAGAGCGCGGTGATCCACACTCCGACAATACGGAAAAGAACAAAGAATCTTTACGTCCGTCGGTTTCTTTTTAAAAATATGGTTCCGAAAAGTAAGTACTGTCAGGATCCGTCCAAACAACGCTCCGCTGCTCATACCCCCAACTGAGAGACAAACACAGTGTCCTTACGAGGACCGAGTAAGTAGATAGAACGGGCAATTTGAGCTCACAAAGCTCCGCGCTTGCTGCTGCCAGCCCCCTCGCTCTTTTCCTTGCAGTTTCAGAACTCGAAAACTTACAGGCAGCTCTGCGTTGATTCTACTTATGCTGGCCGGATGCCTCCAATACCGCTTGGTTCACACCAAATGCTCCTCTTCCAAACGAAGACGGTCAACAAACTAGAGGCGATAAAACAGGAACAGCGTAATTACCTGCACTGGCCGAATGTTATCAATTCCCCGCAGCTCCTGAACCATTGCGTCCTCTTCTCTTGCGTCCCTGCTCCGGATTCCGTTGGGCGGAATGCCCCAGAGGAACACGCGGCCGTCGGCAGCGAGAGCAACGGAGTGATGCGCACCGGCCGCGACTTGCACGATGTGGGCGTCGAAGTGGTCGGCAAGGCGTGCGATGCGCTGAGGGGTCTCCTCGCATCTGCAGCGAAAAAACGACGTTTTAGTGTTTAGCGAGCTTCCTGATTTCGACAGCTTGAGGAATCTGGCTTCATCTTGACCTTAAATGCGCTCTCTTCATATGAAACGGTCAGCGAGGCAAGAGATGCGCGGAGAACTCTCCTCGCATCTGGAGGGAAAAACCGCTTGTTATGGTTCAAGGAACTCCCGTTTTCATTCCTCCAAGATTTGCGCAGTTATTTTGACCTTGCACCCGCTTGATGCACTGGTTTTCTTGACTTCAATGGGCGTCAAAGTGGTCGGCAAGCCGCGAGATGCGTTGGAAAGTCTCCTTGCATCTGAAGAGGGAAAGATTAGTGTTATGTTCAAGAAAGTCCGTGATATCAAACTTCAAACTTCTTGGCGTGATCTTAGTCTTGCATCCCTCTGTAGTAAACAGCCTGCAGCTGAGGTTCCGAACGCCCTGCTCTTTGATGATAAGGAAGGGTTTCACTTTCTGCAACTTACAAACACTTCCCAAAGCTTACAACGCACTTTTCGAATACTGGGTTCTTGAAACAACGAGTGTCAAAAGGGATGGCGGAACGCAGGCGGGTATTTTGGTACAAGCCAAAGACAAAACCAGAAAAGACCCAAGAGCAGTCCGTGCCAAACGTTGCTCTAGGAAGCTCTTCCCGATTGCACCCCTTAATACCCTGATCAATTGCAAGGGTCCCCAAGTTGTCAACGCTTTGCTTTCTTTTAATAGGACATGGCCGCAAACCTTGTTGTCGAAGATATACCTCAAAATTTTGTCAGAGGGGCACCGGGGCAACGTAGCTCCAAAACTGTCGTACTCAGTCTAGCAAAACAGACTTCGGGTCTTCGGACAGCAAAGTCACAACCTCTGGACTCTCGATTTGAGAAGACGCAAAAAGCAACCGCACCTGAAAACCCAAGGGACGCTTCCGTCGCCCCCATCCTTCGGTTCCGTTCCCCCCTGCCCTAGTTGCCCCTTCCCGCCCTCGCCCCACGCATACACCTCCCCCTTATCCGTTACCGCCAACATATGGTCCCACCCCGCAGAGATCTGCACGATGCGGACGTCCGAAAGCGCTTGGACCATGAGGGGGACGTCCGAGAAGTGGGTCTCGGGGCCATGGCCTAGCATGCCCGTGGCGGACGTGCCGCTGGTGTAAACGCGCCCCTCGCGGCTGAGGAATGCGGTGACGGTTGCGCCGCACGCAACCTGCGCGAAAAAGAAGTTCTCAGCTTCAGAAACTAAAAAGTTCTGGGCTTATGCATCTTCGAAGGGCAAGCAACTGATGATAATTCGGGGAGCTTTTGTGACTTGAGTTCGGCTGTGCGTCTATATGGCTGCTCAGAGCGGGGTGGGAAGCAGGGCAGAAAAGATAAAAACAGAAGATGCAGCCTAAGCAGAAAGCTGTCGTGAACGTTGTTAGAAAAAGGATTGGAAAGAGCGACAGAGATGTTTGCATCTGCCACACCCGAGAGAGGAGGCCAAAACCATTTTTTTTAAAATCTATGTACGACAGACTCGACTCGCTGCAAGTAAGGCACAGAGAACCGTATGTACTTCCAAACTCGACCAGCATACCGCAAACATGTTTCTGCAATAGAACACAACAAACCAATGACGTGGCTTCTGAACAAACCAACGACGTGGCTTCTGACAACCAATGCCCGCTTCAACAAATTCCACTAGCGGAGTCACCTGCGCTATGGGGATGCCTGCAAGTGCTGTCACAGGCTGTGGCAGCACAACGTCCTCCTGTCCGGGAATCCCCAGGCACCCCTGCTCGTTCTTTCCAAAACTGTACACGTCACCCTCCGACGTCACTGTGACGACAGACCCCGGGCCGGCGGCTACGCAAGCGATCCTGAAGGCAAGATCGAAGGTAAGTGTCAGAGTGTTGATTGATCTGCAGGCAACTGTCTAAACGGCGTTCCTTTGAGGAGAACCTCAGGACGAAGTTGGCAGACGTTTACTCGTTGCAATAAAAGATGCAGCTTCGGTGTTGGATCCGATGTGTGGGGACGAAAGATACAGTGACAAATGCTCGAAGCCCGCATCTCTTGTCTGCCAATCGGTAGCCCCGAAAACATGCGCGCATTCAACCAGGGGTTAGAAACGTCTAGGACGTCGAGAAGTGTAGCAGACAACAAGCAAAACAAAATCTCAGATCCAATACTAGCCGAACCGTCACTCTTGTCCGTAGCTGGGTCCAATTCCGCACTGCCTCCATAGCTGCACCATTTGCGCTCGCCCAGGCACAGAAAGCACAATCTCACCCCACGAAGACCGCAAATAGAAAACGTTCTAAAAAAGGGGAAAAAATCCCCCGAAGGAATCAAACCCTGCATTACAACACTAGTAAGCAACCCTCACTTTTCGTTCGCCGGATCACCCCCGATCGCCCCCAACCCTCAGCTACTGCCACAGGTTGCCCTATGTCGCTTCCGCTCAACCAGAGGAAGCACACCTCACACCCGCCAAAAAAGCGCCACAGATTCACACAATCAGAAAGGTGACAACCGTGGGAACGCCGCATCAACGAAACCCCTGAGTTTTGGTCCGTCCCCACGTCCCCACCCTCCGCTGCTCCCATAGCTGCTCCACCTTGCGCTCCCCCAGGCACAAGAACCATAACTCAGATCGACCACAATGAAAGCAAACAAGAAGTCATTGGAAGTGACAACTTAGAATCCACGTCACTGGACAAAATTCACTTGCCAGCACGTCTTCCAACCTCCGCTGCTCCCTCCGCTGCTCCACCTCACTTCAAACCTCAAAACCTCGAAAAGATGACAACCAAAGCTCAAAACCTTGAAAAAGATGACAACCCAGTGGTAAACACATCCCCTAAATCAAAAAGAACGCTCACTTTCTGTCCGCCAGGACGTCGCCCACTCTGCGCTGCTCCCACAGCTGCTCCACCTCGCGCTCGCCCAGGCACGCGAAGCGCGCCTTGGAGCCCCCAAAGATGCGCAGCTCGCCCGCCGTGTTGACCGTGCAGCTGAAGTCGGGACCGACCTCCACGAGGCCCTCCTTCGTACTGTAACGCAGATTCTTTTGCCTTTCAAAGTTTCTTCGCATGAGACATCTATTTCGAAGGCTTTTTGACTTTCGGAGCATGTAAGAGCATTCTGATTTGAAGGCTGTTAAAAACGCACAATTCCTGATTTGGAGGCTGGAAAAGAGTAAAGTCTCGCTGAAGATAGCAGGCCCCGCCGGGGCTGCCGTGACCAAGCTCTACGAGACCCCATCTGCACTGTGAGGCGGAATCGGCTTCCGCTTCAGGCGGTTTGAGCTGGGCAACAGTCCTATCAACATACAAGAGCCTTTTCGCACTCAACCTTTGGAGAGAGACTCCGAAGCCGCCTGTGTAGGGCTGTAGCCCTGAGCCCTAAGCCCAAGGAATTGCGGTTCAGATGGACTATGTAATGGAGACTTACAAAACCTCCTATGCGAAAGCCTGGACCCCCTCCAATAGGCCCTCATTAGTACGGAAATCACAAAATCCATTGATCTGAGAGAGACAAACATTGTCGCGTGTTTACCACAATCCAATAGAGAATCTGAGGGCCAGATAGGAAAATCAACCACCACACACCAAACAAGTCACCAAGGTCGGCAGCCAAAGGAACCTGTGATGGCATCGGAATTGGTTGCTGGGAAAGGGTGCTTGCTTCGGCGGATGAAATGGGCAATCCGTCGAAAGCTTACGACAAGAACGTTACGTTCTTCACAGGGAGAAAGAACCAACCATATGGGCGCGAAACAAGTCGAAAGAGGCACCAACCTGTCGACGCGGTCGAGCGCGTTCAGATGATGGTACGCCACCTTCCAGTCGCCCCCGCACCGCAGTAGAAGGCGCCCTTGGCTCGCAGCTGAACAGGCCTTATATACAGGGTGGGCCTGGCACGAGCGGTGCGCAGCGACCTGGAAAAACAGCAATAGAGACTTGTGACGTGTCCAATCAGGTTAAAAGGGCTGGGTGCTGTGACCGAACGTAACGTGGGTACATACTGTGCCACATGTGGCGTAGAGAAGAGCTGTGCCAACTGAAGCTACGTGGAGGAAGGTCGACGATGGTACAGTGAGAAGGCCAGCGAACAAAAGACCAATCTTCACCGCCTTTTAACTGAAAAGTGTATATATCGCAAAATAAGACAACCAAAGTTGGCAAACAGACGCTCGTTTTAGGGGGGTTTTCCGTGCACCAGCAGCATTTGGACAATTGTACGTCGAATCAAAGCGCTGATATGTAAACAAACAGTATTGGCCCTTGCGTATGAAAAAGGGTAGCCAAACTCTTTGCGAGATAGCAGTGTTGGCCCTTTTGTACGGGTAGCAAAGAGAACCCCCACCTTTCCGAATCGAAAGGCAGGCTCCAAGAAGGCCTAAAATCAGGGTGAGTCTACCCACTTCCCAACTTGGTACGAAGGGCCATGGCACACTGGTTGCACTAAAGCTCGGATAGGACGAACAACAAGTAGAAAGATCAAACATCAGGCGGGCTGTGCAGTACAAGCTAAGGAAACAACATAGCTACTAAGCTGGTGTCGTGCAGAAAGCTGGTGACAGCAAGGAACGCCAACCTTTCAACTACTCGGTCTCTTACCACAGTCAGCGACATGGAGGCGTCAGGCGCAAAGTTGGCGGGCGTGCGGAAGAAGCGGCAGGCAGCCTCCAGGCGGGCGAGGTCGCGCGCACTCAGTCCTGACGTCAGCACCTTGAGAAGGATGTCTGGAGTGTCCGAAAGCTGGGTCAGGCTGCCCACTGGAAAAGAGCTGCAAAAGAAAGAAGGTAAAGTCAGTGCTAGGGCCGCATTCCAGGATTACAATTCTGGAAAAGGGCCATGGATCCGAACTTAACCAGGTACCATGCAATGGTCCACGAAAGTCACGGAAGTCAGCACAGGGAAGTTGAAAATTATGTCTGGACGTTGATGTGATGAATTAGGTGGCTGATTGACAGAACACAAACAAAAGAATCAACAGTGCTGACACAACTTGGAAGTGCACCCGGCCTGTGACATTGCAGGCCCAGACAAGCTGTCGGGGCAACAGAGGAAAGAAGAAAAAGCGACACCCAGAGAGTAAAACAATCGCATGAAATCAGAAGTACTTACTACAGAACCTAGACCAGGGGGGGGGGGGGGTTCTGAAAGGCGCAGAGGCTCTAGAAGACAGGACTGATTGTCAAGCCTGCTTCCGAACTCTGACAGCATCGACAGCATTCAAGCAAGGACTCTTAAGGATTCTTACACTTCTTCTTATACTACTACCGGGATACCAAGCAGCTGCATTCGCATATTCAGCACATTTCTCAGTAGCTTACGCTCACCTCGCCTCCGCTGCCGCCGCCTCCTTCAACGTTCTGGCGACCTCCAGACTGGCCCCTTGCACCTTCGCAGCCTGCAGCCCCCTGAAAAGTTTCAGATGCTCCTCCATCCCCACACCCCCCGCTCGCGGGCCGATCTCCGCCCCTTCCGTCACCCCCCCCTTTGCGACAATTCCACTACCCGTGCTCCCGGGGGATACAACCTCCTCTCCCACCGCCCCCCCCTCAGGAACGACTTGCAAAACTGGCTTGGTGCGAACGCCCTCTGGGGCCGATTTACAGCAGCGCCCTTCAAACGACTCCGGACTGAAGGGGAGGTCTTTCACTTGGGCAAAGTCCGAAGTGGACCCCACGCGCGGCAGGGGGGTCTCCAGAGGCTCGGGCAGGGACGGTGCGAAACCCCCATTTGAGGGGACGGCGCCGCTGCTGGATGTTACACGGTAAACCGTTGATGGGTCATAGCCAGAGGAGTCCATCTCATCGGAACTACTAGTGGACGAATTAGATCCAGTAGTGGGGTTAGGGTGCGCTGAGGTCAGCGAGTTGTCGGAGGGTTTGGGTACTAACACAGGGGTTAGGAGCTTGGGCCGCTTGTTAGCCGGATCAGGAGATGCGCAACTTTTGCGCTTCACTTCCAGTAACAACTCCTCAGGGAGCTGACTCGACCGCGCCTGTTTCGTGCCTGCGAGCACCGCCGAGGGGGTCAGTTTCGCCAGCTTTTCCGGCCCCCCCTGCTCAGACCCCTTCTCCGCTGTGTGCAAAGACACAAACCTGGTAGTGGTTGTCACTCCCTTTTGGGGGGGCATCATCGACGACTTCTTGCTCCTGAAAGACAACCCCGCCGTCGTCTCTTTACCCCCCGCCGCTTTTCTCAGTATTCTCATGGGGGTGCTGTCTAGAATGCCCGCCAGAGTGCTTGCACCCCCCGGCTGCGGAGGTTGCGCCCCCCCGAAAGTTGTCCCATTGAAAACTTGAGCATACATGAACCGGTTTGCTGGCGCTTTCGAGTCGGGCACCCTCAGATTGGAGATGATCTCTCGGTTCCCTAGTCCCCTCCCCTTCATCGGCAATGGATACGCAATCCCCCCAAGCCCTGCAACCGCGCCATGATGCGCCAGAGCGCCGTCTGGGGCGGGTGGAACCACTTTCTCATCACAGGGCCTCTCTAGCAGATAGTTGACTTCCGGAAGAATTGGCCCAAACCCCCGCTGCACTTTTGTCTGTGGTGCAGCTTCCCAGGCAGGCGCGACCAAAGGCTCCGCTCTTACAACGGGCTTCATGACCTGAACAGTGTGACAACCCCCGCAAACTTGCAAATTCTCCTTCACTTGGGGGGTGCCCTCGAAGACAGAGACATCGGACCGCTGCCGCTGAAGCTGCGGCGCATACACCCCCTGCTTTTGCCCCATCCCCGGCCCCCCCGCCGGAGAAGAATCCAAAACAGCCCCCCCCTCCGGCCCCATTCTCGAAGCACTCCGCTTCCCAGAACAGCACCCCGCAACCTTTTCATTCGTATCGCACGAGCTCAACGGGCCCCCATCCCGCAACACCCCCAGCTTCGCCGACCCGTCTAGGCTTCCCCCCGTGCTATTTCCAGCCCGCGGAACCTCTAGAAGTCCCGTCTTGCGCCGGGGCTTGGGCGTGTCGCACGGCTGCTCCTGGAACCATAGCTCGCCCGCAAACTCGTGTTCCCGCGGTACGCAGCAGGGTTGCGTGCATGTTCCGGTGGCACAGCAGCAGCTTTTCCCCCCCGCTTCGGTTTGGCACGGCGTGCAGCACCAGCAGCAGGGACCATCGTCCCAGGCAAGCGCCAGCTCCTGGCAAAGCGTGGCGTCCTCCATGGGGGGGTGTCAGCACCTGCAAAATGACCGGGGGGGGCAAAGGTTAGGTCTGCAAACGGGGGTCAACATTGCAGTTGTGGATTCGATTTGATGCTAAGCAAAGGCAAGCTCTTGGCACACCGTGGCGTCCTCCATCAGGGGCTGTCAGCACCTGCAGAATGCATGCAGTGGGCGATGGGTGACTTCTTTAGGGGGGTGCGTGTATTTGGATGGTAAGAAAGGCCAGCTTTGCATAGCGTGGCGTCCTCTATGGTCATGTCAAAAACTGCAAAATGCAGAGGAAGACAAATTGGTTCTGTTGGGGGGATAGGCAATGGATGGTAAGTTAACGCCAGCATGAAACCCTCGACGAGGGCTGTCAGCACCTGCCAAAAGGAGAAGGGGGGGCAATGAGAAACTTGCAGAATCTGAAAGCAAAGGCCATGCTCCTAGCATACAGCAGCATCTTCTATTGGGGGTGTCGGCACCTGCGAAAAGAGAGGGGCAACATGCGAGTTCTTTGAAGAAGGGTTGGATTCTTTAGCCCTGGGTCGTCTTGAGCAAAGCCACTGCTGAAACAAGACCAGGCTTGGGACAAGCAAAGACTTGCAGCAGAGCCCTGCATGTCAAAAGCAGCATGAGGGTTGCTTTACGGTTTTTTACCAGATCCTGATGCAAAGACGTCTTGTTAAAAGAGGTCTTCTAAATGAGAGACACCCAGGACTTAGCAAGAGTGAAAGACATCATGCGGCAGAGGTTGTGGGATCAATCTGGCCAAATGCTTAGCTGGGACTAGGATACATTCCTTGTGCAGACCACAGATCCAAGTGAGGGCTGTAGCAGAGAGATTAACAGTCTATACCTTCCCGGCTTTGCAAACGAGAAATGCAAACCCTTCTGCAACTTGATGAAGGTGAAAGAAGGAGACAAGACCAGGTCAATGGAATAGCAACAGCTCAAGGGCCAATAGTTGCTATAACAAACAAAAAACAGGCAGGCTGTGCATGCAGAAATCAGTAAGGAAGGCAGGAAGCATTGGGAAAAGTAACAAAGAAAAGCACACGGTCGCAGGTTCAAGGCAAGAAGCACAACAATACCCATTCAGAGAGTTGCACAGGTTGATGTTGTTGCCAACGGAATCTCTTAGAGATTACAATCTGCACAACAACATCCAACTGTGCCAGCAATAATGACCGGGCAGGAGAGAAAAGGACAATGTCTGCCAGGCCCAGAAACAGCGAGAATGGTGTCAACAACAGTGGCAATCAAAACGAAAACTTGTGAGCATTCATGCTAGACAACAGTGAAGACATAGTATGCGACAAGAAGATGATTCTCTTCACCTGACAAGCTCAGGGCATCTTTAGTGTAGACCAAGGGTGTAACTTGGAAACAAAGTCACTAGAATCACCAAGAAAACTCAAGGATCGACAATCGTAATCTGCATTTGATGCTTTGTAGACAAATTTTAGTGAGAGAGGTTCACACGTCAAAAATCCCGACGAGGTGAGAATGAATACAGAGCTCAAAACAAGGAAGAGCCTGGCTTACCAGGCAGAAAAAGAAGATAAAAGTAGGAGCTCAAAACAACTGCATGTTTGCAAACAAAACGCATGTCTCTGCCCTTAGCCGGAGACACAATGGAACCTTCGCAGCTGCCCCTCGCTTGACAGACTGAATATGCACATGGCATAGGCCTGTCAGCTACTGATCTGAACTTGGCTTGAATGGAGCCACGGTCCTGAGGTGTTTGGGGTTGGGTAGGAGCAGATTCTGGCAAGGAGAAAACTGCTTCCAGAGAGGTTGAGCACCCTTTCCTTATACCAGTCCATACGACCACACAGCCTTGGGATGGCTCACATGAGCGAGTAACCACTGCAACAATGAGCAACCTATGAGACACAAAGCAGCCCCACATTGTGATTTCTATCAGACAGTGTCGGAGGCGCCCGATGACCACACGAATGGAGAATCCACAAAAAAACCTTTGGAAGAACCGATGTGAGAATTGAAGACAGGCTATGCGCAAGCAGCATAGCAAGCAAGAAACAGAGATTATGCAACGACGGTGTTCATTCAAAGCAGGACACAGGGACCATGCATAAATGGTTTACAAACGTAAGAAGCTGAAAGCTCTCATAAGCTCAACCATCTCGCCCCTCTTGTCTCCGATTTGTGACAAGCTAATGTGAAATTTGAGAACAACCATGTATCCCACAAGAAGACGAAAGGACTCAGCAACAAATTTTGCAGACGTACAGCTCTTCCATAAGAATCCCAAACCTTGATGGTGCCTCTACCAAACCTCTCGTTCGCTGTTCAATTTAAGATGGCAGTAAACAATCATATCAACACATTTGAGTCCGCCCAAAGCAGGCATGCGGTTCTCTGAAATCAAACAAGCCACACGTTGTCCATATGCGACAGAGAGGGGCAGATAAGGACGGAAAGGCAACAGCGACACACGCCAAACAAGCTGATAAACAAACGGAGCATACTGGCAATATCCTGTGAGCAGAACTCGTTAGAGCCCAAGAATCCAAGGGGGGCTGAAGCGCCGTCCCAGGAGACATGATGACAGTTAGCGGCAGGGCAGCCCTCCCCTTGTAGATTCTGACCATGCATGATCCCACGAGCTTAACCCACAGCTGATGCAAGTTCACGAACAGTCTGGGCCGACATTTCTTGGAATCGCAGCTGATGCCCACTTCTTAATGACAGGCGCACCTGAAAATCATACTTTTAAAAGTGGAACAAGAAGACAGCAAGGTATACAAAAAGGCAGGATCAAGGTCAATGCAACAAACAAGACACTCACCGTATCAACTTTTCATCCCCCCAAGTCGGCAAGAAGAGGACTTGACCCCGTCCTGTAAGGACCTTGAGCCTGTCCGCCGAGTATCTAAATTCAGGTGACTGAACCTACACCACACAGGAGCTTCTCTTCTACTGGCGTACAATCGCCCTCCGCAAGTGCCCCCACCTTTTGAGCAACAACTAGCGGCCCCCGCTTAACAACAGACTACCCTGCTTTTGCAGCAGAAAGCAACGACCAAAGCTGCCCCCTCCAACCTATGGTAGAGTGCAGAGGTTGGAGGCCACAACTTCTCCGAGCTGCATTTCTCCACACCCTTAAACTTCAGAACCGTCAGCTCATCAGTAGCTCATCATGATGCAAGTTGGTCGAACAAAGATTTGCAGATTTGTCAGGAAAGGGGGAGGAAGAAGACAAAGAAGATGACTGGCACGCCAGGCCATGCTGGCCATGGTCTGATCGAGCGCGTGCGATAAACTCTCCTTGGAAGTGAAAACTAGAGCGGGGCCGCGAGGTGTCAGAAAGTCATCATTATTGTCATGTGACTCAGTGTGCTTCGAGCCGCAAGTGGGCTACCGGTAACTGATAACCGCCGAGCGCCGCGCATGAATTACCGGTACATTCGCAAAACAACCACCATCAGACTGCCAGCACACTAACACCGATGGTGGAAATATGATCAGATTCAGCGAATCGGACAAAAAATCGGCGCTGACAAAAAAACGTACCGGTTGTGTTGCGCCCCTTGATAACCTCCGATCACACCGGCGTCGGCGTTTCCACCGGAGGCTGTAGAACCGGCAGAAGTACGCCCGCTTTGTCGGTCTGATTGACACAAAGCCAGAAGTTCAATCTGTCAATGAATCCAACAAGGTCTCGTCCAATCTTGGTGCCAGGTGTATCCCTGACGCCTCGGCCCAAGACTGGTAACGGTATGGAAAGCTGCAACAACCTCAAAGTTTGATGTCTCAAATCGCAATCTACGGTAAGTTTCAGGAGAAATCATTGCGATGGCGTCAGCATGAAAATCTTCCAATTAACCCCTGGCTTGGACTCGCCGCTCGCGCCTCTACAGGTAAACCCCACGGGGCCATGCGCACGGGCCGGGGCGATTTGTATAGCTAGTGTTCCGACGAAGTCGAGTCCGCATGCAGTGCGTGAAGATATCACAATTTGAAGAGAGAGTTGGGAGAGAGTGTGGAGAGAGTTCTCTCCTAGTTCTCTGGTCAAGGGGGAGTCAAAGGCGCCGGTCAAAGGCGCCGTGTGTTTCAAGAGTCCAGCCAGAGGCCTATCCCATGGACCCCGGCGGAGGAGGCCTATCCTGGGCCCGGAGGTTGCCAGAGTGAGGCCAGAGCAATGCCCGCGACGTTGCGCGACTTTCCGCAATTCTGCGCGACTTTACGCGACTGCTCCGCGACTTTGTTCCGCGAACTTCGCGACCTTCACCGCGACTTTATCAATCTTTGCATGAAAATAATGTTTTATTGAAGCAACTTTTATGTTTAAATGCTTGGAATGCTCCGCGACGTTCCGCGACTTTTCGCGACATTCCGCGACTTTCGTCCGCGACTTTGTCCGCGACTCTGCGACCTCCTGCGGAGGTTGCTAGAGTCATAGAGTTGCATGCCTGCGACGTGCCTGCAACTTTCCGCGACTTTACGAGACTGCCTCGCGACTTTGTTCCGCGATCTTTGCAACTTTCACTGCAGAACCATCTAAACCTTTGGCCCTCCTTTGGCAACAATATTTTAATTAAGAAAGAAGTTTTTTGTTTCGATGCTCGCGACGCTTCCGCGGCGGCTAGTGGGCGGCTACGCGACTTTCTGCGACTTTCCGCGACTTTCACCGCCGCCGACTCTGCGCCTCCGGGCCTGGGGTGGCAACTCGAGAAGATTACTGCATGCACCCGCGACCAAAGGGTTGGCGGGCTTTGTAGGTTATAGTGTAGTATCTTATTGGATTTTAAGCCGATTTGCAGCAGGTTATAGAGAAGGATCTTATTGGTAGCTTGAGATGTCAGCAGGTTATAGTGTAAGATCTTATGGTCGTATATGTTTTGAGCAGCTTTTAGTGTAGTATCTTTGAGATGATTTGAGCATCTGAAAGGAGTTGGTTTCGTCGCGGCTGTATGTGTGCATGTTTTGCATCTTATTGCCTGTAAGATCCTCTATAAGATGGGGGGGTCGGAATTTGTCAGATTATAGTGCTCTGCGTTCGTCTCGTCATGACGAACACAAAGCAATATTCGGATTTCCCAAATTCCAAACGGACGCTTATGCGGATCCGTCAAGATGATTTTTTGATGGATCATCTGCAGATCCGGAGTTGCCACCCCAGGCCTCCGGGTCGAGGATAGGCCTAGCCAGTATTAGTATACGTGACCGATAGGTGCAACAGGGACCGTTTTGCCACAATCATTGAATATATCAGGGCCCCATCATGCTTGCAATTGGGTGCAAGCTGCTGCGGCTATAAATGTACCCTGTCTGGAGACCCCTGGAGACGCGGGGTCTGATCCCGCAGTATAACGTGGTGTCACATGCAGAACTTACATGATTTGTTTCTAGCTTGCTAATTGTTGATCATGCATCATGAGCACCTATACCGTCGTCGGTAGCTAATTATCTCTCTAGTCGAATGAGTTATATGAACATGAACAGATCGAAGTTCCGGCTGAACAGACTCAAACGTTATAATTTAGCGTTGTATAGCGCGTACATGCAGCAATGACGTATACGTATGTCTCAGCCGCGCATCCATCGGTGCACTCATTTCAACACACGGGTGCGAACTTTACTGTCACAGCTGCGGTCTTGATCCGATCATCAAAACCAAAACCGAATGTGGTAACGTAGTTTAGTAGGCATATGTCGCCGCTGGCACGACACGCAACTCATTCAAAGCTTGGAGTGTCATGCAATTGGACCATGCTTCAAGCAGACAAGTTGGCCTCACCAAGTCCGAGTCAGCACGGTTACTTTTGCCAAGCCTGTTGTGCTGTTGGTCATGCCGCCATGTGGCTGCTTCTTACACGAATACTAACAGTCCAAAGCAATCCATCTAGTTCAGTCCGGTCCGATTCATCTGTCCGAAGCACGAGTTTGTTCGATAGCTAGCTGCAACGTGCGCAGTATGAGACTGCTTCTCTTAGTTCAAACATGCTCGGTTTCTCGAGTGGGGCCATCATACTGGCCCGCCGACTTGTAAATCCAGCAGTGTCGATCTTCATCACCTTTGATGAAAGCCGATACAATCTACAACTAGCTTGGGACTCGATCTTAGTGCCGCAGCGCCCAATCCAACGCCGAAATGGCGAAATCTTTAGACCCGAGGCCGGGGCCTTCGCCAATGCGTTCAAATACGTACCTGTGCAGAAAATGCATGCTCAAGAAAAGCTTTAGCTGGTCATGTTGTCACCAGCGTCCACGTGGCAAAAACGTCGGCCTTTCGGAGGTTTCTGAATCATTTCTCGAATGAGATGCGCTTGGCTCGGACATATATAATTCTGAATTCGAAACGAGAGCCAAAGCTCAGAAGCACTCTCTGACACGCTCGACACTAGATCAAGGCACCGCCAAGGCAAACCGCTAGTCTCCCCGGTCCTCCTTCAGTGATAATCATTGAGAAACACCTTGAAAAAGCGTTGCAGCCGCGAATATTTGCACAGGGACTTTGTCAAACGCACCAAGCAGAAGCCGAAGCAAAACTTAGCGTCTGTGAGTCAAAAGATGCGTGCTTTGCTGGACACAATTGGGGAGACGAAAGAAAAAGGGCGACATGCATCTTTTTGTCTTCACTGCACGGCATGACCGCGTAAAAGCTGCTCACCCGCGTCAGCTCTGTCTTGGTCGGCCTGGTTGTCGACGTCGAGGACCGTATCTGCAAGGCCTCCCGTCACTCTAATCACTACACGCAGGCTACCACGTATAAATCTCGGTATTAGCGAAAACAGATTTTCGTGCGCGCTTGCCTGACGTAGAATTCTGGGTTAGTTATCCACTGTCACGGCACGCCGCCTTGCTTCAAGACCTCTTGACAGATGACGACCGCAGAGGGGTCTTCAATTGAGACCACGGGATCCGCGACGCGAGCACCAGTGGCCAAAGTGGCCCGCCTGGGATCTCTTCCAACTTTCAAGCGTTGCGGCCCGGACTGATTTAGTTTGCCATCAGAATCCAATTCAGGTTGTCAGTATAGGCAGAAGCCAGAGACGAAGTAGCCGGCACGTGAAAACTAAGAAAACAAGTGACAGTCTGCATGGACAAAAATGGCGCTTCGTATACACCGATCTGGGGCACAGTCACGCACCTGGAAAGGAACATCGTCCTTATCTTTGAAAGGAATTCATCGACGGAAGCAGAAGCAGAAATTATGCCGTTTCCGAAGCTATGCGGAAGAACAAATCGCCTTGAACAGAAGTCTGCTGAGTATCTAGGCATACCTACTTCCGTTGCATTACAAGTAGGGAGGACTCCAGCATTCAAAAACTCTCAGTCTAAGTTGACATGCCGCACACACTATCAGGCCTTGAATCAACGGCGCTGCAATCATAGCATCAGGCGGAATGATGAGTAGAGTCGTACGTTTCTGAGCTGCGAACGCACCATAACGTGGCTGGTGATACGGAACTCAAACGCCCCTGGGCAGAAGGAAATAGGGTGCTGGTCGACGAACGTTTCAATGATTTCACGAGTCGCTAAGACAAATTGCCAGTAGGAGGATCTCATTCTTCTACTGACGTCCAATTAAGCATATTGATTTTTCATGCCGTGCAAGGGGCCCGGCTACCGTGCTTCTAAGTTGGAAACGGCTGCTTGAATTCTGTCGAAGCATCAAATGCACAATCAAAAGCGCTAGTTGGAGGGCCGATGCGCTGCAGGCAATCATGGCTTTGTAGCGGAAGCGTATGGTGAGGGACGGTAAATAAACCCATCAGAACGCAGAGACTTGTTGTGGGTCAATTTTGTTTTCAAGGTTTTTTGTTCCGCCCTCAGCGTGAGCTTACAGAGAAATGATGGGACGTCGTGCGGGGCTCGAAACGCTGCCGCAGTGCGGCTTACCAGTTGAGCGACATGCAAGTATCGCTCAACGAAAGCGGCGGCCACGTGATGACTTTCCCGGCAACATGAGAGCAGAATCTAGTGCGCAGGAACGTCCGCGAAGTTGTGTCGTGGTTAGACGCCCTCTCTGACGGAAAGAGGCAGCAACATTTTTACTCCAGGTGGGCGGTTTGGTTAGGGCATCAGCGCGACAACGAAAAAGCCTGCTGACGTGCAGCGACGAAAAGTTGCGTCAGTGCTTCGGTCACACATCCCCGCCTTACTGGGCATTGCAGGGTTTATAAATTTCACAACCTCCGTCAACACAAAAGCGGGATCGGAAAAGCGAGGAACGAGGCTAGAAGCGGGATGCCAATACTCGATCAGCAAGGATATTGTGTTGGTCAGGCTATCCTGCCCTTGCGCGCCTTATAGGGCCATTAAACGATGGCTCCGTCCGGAATGATCTTCTTTTCAACAGATTATTGCTCAGAAGTGCGGACTTCGATTGCAATATTGCTGCAGGAGCGGAAAGAACAAAAACACCCTAAACAACCACCAGAAGAGGATAGAGCGAAGTGATAGCAGACCGGTGAGGCAGAAACAGGATTTCAAAGGCAGCAACCGAATCGGCCTGTCAATGTGACGCGACACTTGATGACTGTGCTTTTCCACAAGAGACCAGAACATTCCAGAGACCAAAGAAGACGTTGATCCGGAGACGGAGCTGGAAAGATGGCGCAAATGACTAACATGGTATCAGGCAGAGTAAGGGAGAGCGGCATCAGGCGAGCAAAACATTGAGCTTCTCGCGGTGGTAAGGCCGCGAACTTGTTCGGTCATCACGCCCTCAACCTCCGAGTCTTGTGCACGGAAGAATTGTAGGCGGCGCATCGTAGAACTCTATGGTGTCGTTTATTTGGACCCAATTTCTCAGACCGGATCTGTGGGGCGGAACGTAGGCGGCTATCAAAAGCAAGGAGAGCCAAACAGTGCGGAAACGCCAGACTCGTTGGACCATTGCGGTCCGCTTTCGGGTTGAGTGATAACCAGGCGGAACGGGTCTTATTGGCACAACTTTGAGAATCAAGGCTGCGCCCGCGAGCAGATTCATGGGTGGCAAGTGAGGCGGTCAATCAAGAATACTTAGTGCTAGAGAATCCAGCCTTAAGCGCTTGGTCAAGCAACTGACGAGCGCGTGAAAGTTCAAAGGCAGCGGCAATAAGGGACACCAATAGATGTCGGAATATGGAGATTGACTCAACTGGATTCAAAGTGCGGTAACGTAGACCGACGCGAAGAGGGCACGAATGGATGCAGCTGCTTGGTTTCGGGAAGCGGGTCTTTGAAGGCGATGTCGAGGCAGGAAACTTTACCCCGTCAAAGCCGTGACTTTAACGGACCAGAGAGACTGTCGCCGTCATGACCACAGGTTTCTAGACGAACGAGACGGCATATTTTGCAAAGAGTGTGTGCCTGGCATCAGATTTCCCTGAAAGGCTCGATCTGCGAGCAGAGTGATAGCATATCGTGGCCAGCTTTGTGTTCATGATCCGTACAAATGTATGCTTTTGCAGACCTGATACGAAAAATTGTATTATCCAAGACGCGCGCGGTACCTCTACAAAGAACATCGCGACATTCGTATGTAAGGTTCGATGACCTTTTTTACAATTCTGGAATGAAGACCTTGAAAACTGCAACCTCTACGTACGTTGAAGCGCCGAAGCTGGCATGCACAGGACGTCAGCTCCAATGTATTGATTCAGTCGCATCAACGAAAGTGGTGGCAAGGAAACGGGACTTCTATTGTGCAGACGCATCGTGCCGTCAAAACTGGGAAAGGAATGCGTCCGCGTGCACTTTTTCCAGTGCATGACCTTCAAGTCAGGGGCGCTGAGTCAAAAGGACGTCATACAAATTAATACCGGCTGTACTTGGAGAGGCAGCCAAGAGCAACAGCTTCGTTATTTTATTGAGAAAGAAACCGAGTAAGCCTCCAAATCCTCTTCCTTGTGGAGGCGCCCGACGCGCAGCTTTCGTCCTAAAAGCAGTTGCTTTCTAACATCGAGGCTCCATATCAACATTAACACCCCTGACCCATGGCAGAATCAGAGCGCCGGACTCAATCATAGCCTTTCAGTTGCATTGTGTAATTAGGGCCGGTGGCTGATTCACAGCTTCGTTCGAATGTCGAACCAATTGCAGTGGGTCAAGGAAGCCGGACTTGGCCTCTCAGCTCTACTTCATGGACTATGTGTAGAAAAGGCGGAATTTGCCCAATTGAATCACATGGAGGAGGGGCCGCCGCTAACAAACGCTGGTTAGTCGCCGGTTACATGCCCTAATTCCACCAGACGGGTACGACCTTATGGTTCAAGAGCCAGATCGACTCGGAACAGTTGCTGGCTAAGACCCCGCGCTGCGTCCCCTCGAATGAGAGATCTGTGACGGCTGTCTATTTACGAAAAGGAAAGACCTATTCAGAAAGACCAAAAGAGATAGTCACAAATTGATCACCCACCGCAATGGCTGGTGCACTACCTGTGTCTTCAAGGGCATCAGGAATCCCAAAGGAGAGAATCTGGTGGTCTCTGCCGCCAATACGTCAAGCATCATGGCCCATAATGTCACTGAAACAACCTACGGATGATTGCGATATTGGACGCTGAAACGACTTTGACTACTTTGACGGTAGGACTCAAGAGGCATACATTTCAAAGTAGGTCAGCAAAGCGATAACTCGCGGCGCATGTTGAATCGTGGAAGAAGGTCGAACAAACACAATTCTCTCGTGCGATGATCACGTGAAAAGCAGCACAAGAGAGAGAGCCTTTGCTGGGACTTTCACGTCGCGAGCGATGCTCCCGCTACGGAACTTGTACTTTATTCGATGGTTATGGTTAGGCAGTCAGACTGCTGGTTATGAAAAATCAATCATAACTTCTTAGCTAGTGTGTCGAGCGAAAAGCCGAGATACCACAAACAAAGGGACAAAAAAGCGACGACAGGGAGATGATCATGAACAGGAGACAAGCATTTCTCGAAGAGCAAAGCAGCTGCTCCAAGGTCGGACGGACGATGCAAGGACTAGTTAGGAAATTAATCCGAGTTTGAGATGAAGATATCAGGTCAGCCCACCAGAGAAGTGCGGCAGATGAGGCGCGACGTCATCGTTCTGACGTCACGCATTCAATTTCAGTTCACAGGGACTTGATCTAGTGAGGCGGCAGGCGGGTCATCATTCAGTAGTTCCGCGAACTAGAGCCGGCGAGATGTTGTGAAGGATGGCCATTACCAACGCATGAAGACGAAAACGCTGTCGAGAACATCAGAAAAGTCAGAACCTCTTCTCAAGCAGGAACCGGCTGTCAGACCCACAGTTGCAGGGGCACATGTCTGGCGCCAAGGGTTGGGACAAAACCGGAGAGCTGAACACTTCTACAAAGAGTGTGGACCAAGTTCTGCCCTCGCCCGAAAGCAGAATCAAAGGCGGGCAATTAAGATAAGTAAGTAAACAGCGAATTCTATAGGGCCAGAAAGTTTCAGCCTAGAGAGCCGCGTTGGGCACCTAACGAGCGCGTTGAGGTAGGTAAAAAGGCAGCGCGATACAGAGGGCCGTGCTGTGCCAGAGTCATACGTACGAGCTGGATTGAGTCACGAACGAAAGGCTGCTAACGTACCTAGACCGGCGCGGAAAAGTCGCACAAGCCGATGCAGTTGGGTTGTCAGCTAAGCTGATGCCCAACTGGAAAAGGGCGGTGTGTCAAAGTCGTAGCTCTATGGGAAAATGCCAGTAGATTTTACGGTCACAATCAGAGGTCTTGAACTGATCTGGACTGCGTCGTTAGATTGGGGAGTGTGCCTGGCGTCAGATTGCACAGAGGCTAAATGTATGTGCACAAGTTTGGCAGCAGATCATAGCCACAGCTTCTGGTCTGTGAGCAATCTTGTTTTACAGACTTGAGATAGAAAAACCGCTCTAAGCCCGGCTTTAGGAAGGGGCATCATTTAGCAAGAAACTAGCTTGGAATCAGTGACAGCAGAGTGTTTCTCCATTGAAGCGCCGATGCTGCAGCACACGAAGGTCACGCTTCAAAGTAGTGATGGGAATGCACGGACAAAGTAGGCGGCGTGGGATTTGGTCGACTGTGATGATACTCAGACGTGCCATACTGATGGCAGAAACTTGGCAGGAATGCGACACAGACCTCCGTCAGACCAACTCCCGCTGAAGGAAAGGCGATGGTTAACGAAGCCCTCGACCAACCTAGGCTTTACAGCATGCCTCAGAGAGGCTGCCAAGAGAACTTCTCGACGCAGTTCTCAACCCGCTACGAGGACTCAGCTACAAGTCCCAAGTTCTTGATTCGAGCAGGGGACTCGGCGTGCAACTTTCTGATTTGGAATGATATCTTTTTAGTACCAAGGCATCATGATCGTGTCAGAGAAAGGATGTTGATACATGGGGGCATCAGGGCGCTAGACTCGAATCACGGCGTTTGAAGCGGGTAATGTACATACAGTCAGCAGAGAAAAACTTCACAGCAAAAGGAAGCAGTTACGGCAAGGAACGTTCATGGCCGTCCGTCTGCCTTCAACGCAAGCGCACCTTGAGCTTTCTCCTCCAGGATGCGACGGGGATGCTGGACAAACACAAGCAAACCGGCCGTTAACAAAGGCTGCTTAGTGGGCCTTCCACCAGACGGAGAGCGGCTGCTTCCAGTAAAATGCCCTTTTTGAAGACGGCTAAGGGCGAGATACTTGTGATACAGGCGAGCAACAAATATTCTTCCGGTGGGCTTTCTTCAAAGGCCCTCAGGCGCGGTGCTAGAACTCATGACGAAACGTTGCGTCGAGGCATTAGTCGCGCATCCCCGCCCTTTCAGTGATCGCAGGCGTTTTCAAAAAGGAGAATCTGACCAGACAAAAAAGCGGGACTCGAGAAGCGAGACACAGCAAAGCGGGATCATTGTCTTAACCAAAATGAAAACCGCACGAGCTTTGCCGAGCTATGCGACCTCATCTTGCAGACTGCGACAACTGATGGCATGGCGCATGGGCGTCAGAGAAGAGGGATCTTGTTTATATCCTCCGTTCCCGGAGAATTCAAACTTGATTCCCAATACCTGAAATTGAGGAAACAAAGCGGCCTGCATGGTAGCCGCCAGCAAACTGCAATTCGACATGAAACGGGAACCGAGCCTGCACGTAACGAAGGGGGTTTGGAGCATCCGAAACACTTGCGAGTCAGGTGTAGGACGAAGCAGACCTGTGTCTACACAGACACAAATGGACAAGAAACCGACAGAGTCGTTCATCCACTATAGTGACGGCTCTGTGGACTAGACACCTTTCGGGCCGGCCAAAGGCTGAGCCTTGTGCGACAAGCCGGAACGAGCATTTACTCGCCATCCAAGACCGTGCGTTGCATCTCCCAAGGGTCCGCAAACAACTTGGTACATGCTGAGAGGTATCAAAAGCAATCCAGAGAAAGCAGATGTGAATAGTCATCCTCACAGCTTAGTGTGCTTATTTATCAATTAAGGGCAAAAAACTTATTGCTTGAATGCTGGGCAGCCCTCTCGTTTTGTGGGCGCACTTCACTTCATGTAGCAGTGAACCCTCGACTACGTAGACACCCCCATGCAGTCTATTCTCGAAGAGGAACAGTTCTCCAAGGGCGTCTCCAAGGGCGTCTGGATTCGTCCAAAGTGCTGCCCTTGGATCCCGCGGTCCCAAAGGACGAGTAATCAACACGGCCCTCTATCTATCTTCCAGATACTCGTTACCCAGCGGGGGTCCTTCATTTCTGCGTGTATTCTGTTGAACACCGACAATGCACGTCGCCCTAATGGGAATCAGCTTGCTGGATTGAGAAAGTGGGACGAAACACCTAAAAAGGAAAGCAAAACATAGTTATTGAGCTGACATCACCGTCGAAAAATTTGGCAGCCCGCAGTGTCTCGCGCGAGAGAGCGGATACAAGTACGACACGCGCAGAAACAGGGAACCGCGCGCACATAGAAGCTGCTGTGCGCGCACCAAATCGACTTTCAAAAATATACAAGATCCGAAGGATTCAGATCCGCGTTACCAAAGTGTGCGGCGGCGCCATGTGAGCCCAGCTTGCGGCGCCGTCAAAGGACTCTCTCGCCCGCACTGGAACATGCGGCAGCAATCCAAAACATTGGTACTCGCATACAAACGGCAGCCCCCGGGCTGGCGAAATTGAATTACGGGCAGTTCGCGCGCGTCCAAAACAATCGACTTTATGAAGGTAAACATGGCGTAACTTTCAGATCTGAGATAGTTTCGACTGTTAGGTTTTTGGGAGTCGTTGCGGGTCAGGAGGTCCAAGTATGTCCTATGAAAAGGATGTATCAGATGGTTCCATCAAAGGAGGCAGACTTCGGCACCGCCCATCAGGCGGCAATCATCGAGCAGCGCGTTGCTGTTTGCTCAAACGCGAAGAAATAGCGTCATCCAAGCAATTACCCGTTGCTGGGAAGAATCGAAAAAGAAAGACGCCATTGATTCAGCAACACTTCCAAGGTTCGTAGTCAACTCTTGCAGCGCTACAGCTGAAGAGCAAGTGGCCTCAACGAGCACGCTATATCATCGCCGTTTCGAATCGAAAAGAACACTGCACAAAAGAAATCTTTTCTTGGGCAGCTTGAATCTCTCAAATGCAGAACCCACTGGCATTGAAAGGGCTTCCGAACACAAGCATTCAAGACCGGTTGCAAGAATCCTCAGTCAAGATCGGACACTCAAGAATATCTTGAAAGGGCACTGCACCACAGAAGGCGGCTCCAAAGCTGAACTATCATCATGTACGGATTCGTTGCCTTACGCGTATGAGGTGGTCGAAAAGCGCCCCAATCTTCCAAGGCGCATACCAAAAGAATTTGTGTATTCGAAAGAACGGGGACATAATTGCCCAGAGTTGCCCAAGCATTAACTCGCGGCCGTGCGCAGAGTTGTCCCTGATGGGCGGCTGCTGCGAGTACTTGCCCGACAAGGCGCAGCGCCGGGGCGCGGCCGTACTTAAAGCTGTTGCGGCTGCGATGTGAGAAGCATCCCGTGTCCGTAACTGGGCAGCAGAACAGGGGTTGCTAAATGCAAGACGGCCAATCACGCATAAGCAAGATAAAGACTAAAAAGAAGGTCGACTACAAGGACGATTCTTGAGGACCGAGGTTGAACCGTGACTGCCTGACGACTCGAACGAGCAAACGGCGTTTAACGACCCAAGGTTGCTTTTAAGATTCGCGAGCCTTTCAACGCAGCATCCGAAAAGAAACGTAACCAGCGCAAAAAGTTAAGAGACCATTCTATTTTCAAGCTGCAAGAGGGCATCATTCAGGCTGTGCATCGATCGCTGGTGGATATGCCGCCACGTGCTAACCGTCACCGCCTCAACTTGCCATGGTGAGAATTAAGTTGAGGGTTAATTCGAGAGTTAAGTTGAGGGTGAAGTACTGTGAAACAGGGTACAGGCCAGGACACGGTGAGTTCTCAGACCCGCCGCTCAAAAGCCCGTCAAACAAGCGACGCCAGGGAAGCATCCATCGGAACGTGCAAGAAACGAAAGAGCAAAGCCGCACCAAATGCGCGTGAGGGTCCAACGCAAACAATTCATAGGAACACTTTTCGGATCGTACATTTTTACTCCAACCGCGAAAAGGTAGAAAAGATAAGCTGCGGAACACACTTTCAGAAGAACGTTACTGGGCCTCCGTTAGCAGTGGTTCCGTCATTCAGGCTGGCAGAACTGAAAGTACTTCCTGGCGGGAGCCTTCTAGATACTACTCCTTCCTGTAATCACAGGCAAGGCAAGGGTCGCTCACAAACGCACCTCGTCAAATTTTCTAAGTTGACTCGTCAATGAAATAGGAATTCTGAGCCATGCAATCCACGCCCGACGGGGCCTTCTGGTGAATTCATGAGACAAATCTGCTTCTAGGGAACGAAGCGGTTTGTTTGCAAGACCATGATGCTAGCAACTAGGCAGGCACTCAAGGAAGCGGGCTGAAGCCAATGAACTGCCACGCTACGAACAGGGCTCAAAAGCCCTCCTTTTGGCCAGGATACGGCGCACTAGACAAGTAAAGTGGCCAGCCAACTCCAAACAGAGATCAGCTTCAAATTCGGTGCAGCGGAGCGATGGCAGCAATCTCGAAGAATTTCATTCGATCAGTCTTTTCAAATACTCGAGAGCAATCGCGGACTTGCCGCGGAAGCTCAGGGCTGTAAATCACACAATCAAAAGCTCCCTCCCCTTGACGTGAACGCTCCACGCGTGTGCCGAACCATAGAACGACCCATAAAAGGGTTTAAGATCATTCGGAAATAAGAAGTTGGTCAAGCAGCGCATCGTCAATCGCAGGTTCCTCACCTTGTTCATTCTCGACAATCGCTCCCGGCAGCGTCCTATAAGCAGGGGAGCGGCCGTTGTCGCAGGCTTCCGCCTTGGGCCACTCATTAGCAGCAAAAACGGAGCCCCTGCAGCGTGAGAATCCGAATGGGTTTCAGCACGAGTTTTGAAAAAGACGTTTTCCAAGTAAGGTGAGCGCCAAAAAGTCATGGTGCCCCACTTTTAGCTGAAACGTGCACGAACGTCATTACGTACCTCACACAAAACGGATGGCTGTGACTTTTCGTCGGGAGAAGGTTGCCGTGATCGATCAATTCGCAGAAGCGATATGATCGTCTAGATATACTATCAGTCAAGGAGAACCGTCTCGCTTCGTCTTTCAATTCCGTACACGTGAACGATGAGCAAGTGCCAGTGGTGACGAATCAGAAGGACCACTAAGTGGACGTACGTCTCAGCAGGTTCTGAAATCATGTTTACAAACTCGAGTAGGTAATCCAGTCCGCCCACTCCTAGCCTAGTCGAGTACAGCAAAGGGTTGCAAGCAGTTCGTTGCATGCTGTTTGAATGCATTTGGCGCTAGAAACTACGCGTAGTGAAGCTTGTGGTGCTGTCCGTAGATGCATGGGCTTGACTTTGACCCGTCGCTTACCCTTCGTGCATCACTGCAACCACCGCAAACCGCCCTGAGGCGTTCCCACAGCAAAGAGCCCACTGGCCTGTTCATGAGCTGCGGGTAAGAGAAAGTCAAGCAGTGTTAATTACTGCAACCAATGTCGCTTGAGAACGACGTGGTGACCATCATCACTTTCCGTGAGATCTCCAGGAAAGTAGAGGCTGCATCTCCCACAACTGTGACCTTGATGCACCGGCTCTGCTCACAGCAGAATTTGCATGAGCCAAGCTCTAGAAGGCGGTTTCGTCATAGCCCGGTGTAGAAATCGCGAAAGCTGAATATTCATGCAGACTACGGAAGTCAGCAACTTGAACGGGATCAGCTTATTTGTCAAGAAAGATCGAACCTTAACAACCGACTTATCCTCCAGACAGACCATTCTCAAAGGACAATCTCTACCGGACTAACCTGGACTTCTTTGCACACACCATAAGGTTGTGAGACTTATGAAGATGCTTTGATTGGGCGCCGGTCAATAGGCAGCTCGACTCCGGTGGTTTGACCACATATGGGCACCAGCTCCGGGATCCTCTGTGGTGAAATGTTCACCAAGGACTTGGCTTTCTTCAACGCCTCGTCTGTACTGGAATCAAAAGTCAATAGGTGGGAATGAATTATCATTCGTAGCCGCACCACGTGGTAGAAAGCGCGGTAATACCATGACATGACCCAACGTCCTCAAAAAGTTAAGCTCGGGATGTCTTGGATAAACGCTTGCGGGGAATATGACGCCACATCGCTGACCATCGGTGCCGCCGATGAAATACTGCAGCGCGCAAGCAGTAAGCTGAATTGGCTATTAATTGATACTTTAACGGCAGGCGGCTTCGGGGGACGAAAGGCGACGAATTGTCAAAAGCACACGAACGCTCGACAAGAAGACTGTACTCAAAGCTCTCGTTGGACCAACTTACGTTATCGTAATCGTTGCCCGTGAAACGAAGCGAGAAAGGTATTGATGGACGCTTCTGGTAGTAACTGAAAGAGGCTCTAAATCAGGTCCAGGTTGCCTCTACAACCTCGGGCAGTCATTTGCACGACCTGTCAGCATTCCAGGCAGAAAAGGCCAAACATAAACATCCGCTGGCGCGGACCATCATCAGATCAGGAACCGCAAATCCTGGACGACAACCGTATCCAATCTACCAAGTAACGCTTGACTCCAGATCAGTTTGAGAGTTTAAGGTCCGGCGGGGGTTCAACCTTTGAAGGCCTTGTCGGAAAAGCAGAAACGACGAAGCAAAAAAGTACAAGATTGGGCAGAAGGCGCTCCGATCTGGTAATGCCTTTCAAACTAGAGAACATTAAAATCACATACGAAGTAGGTCCGTCTAGTCCGATTCACAATGTTTGACCTCCTAGAAACATTCCACACGAAAGCTTGCGATGGAGGAACGCAAATCACATCACAATTGATCCAGATTGCTGATGCAGATCAACCGTAGCTATATACGAGAAACACCAATACGCCCAACGATGGAAGAGCGTCCTATTTCGTCAGTTCCAGCTCGAAGGATCTTATCGAAGCCGTGACAAATTCGAACCCTAAGAAAGAAGTGGCTTGCTTGAGCAACCAAAACCGTTTATCGAGAAGTGTTTCCGAGTGGGCTGCAATTCGGCCGCCTTGGTGGGGCATCCTGGCAGCACGGCATCAAGAGATCCTGTGACGAAGAGTCCCGTCACCGGATAAGCTGCACGCATCACCGCCCTTCGACGTAATCACCCTGGGAATGTTATCGCAAACCCAAAACTGAGCGACATGTATAAGGCGCAAGGGTCGAAAGCGAGGATGTCGAGCGACGGATCAAACGCCTCCACTCCAATCATTGAACGGAGCCTAGGCTAGATGTACCAACGGTGAAGCGAAAGAGCGTTTTAGGACCACCTTTTGGAGGTGGTCCAAAAGGTGATCCGAAAGCAGTCATTAAAGAGAGTCACCCCAAAGAAACAGCTGTGCGAGGAACAGGCTTAGAGCTCGATGGCCTAGGATGTGTTTCATCAGAGCTTCTAATTCAGCTCTTGGGTCCAAAGCGATGCCTTCAAGGGCGCTGTATGCTTTCTTGAAACCGTCTAACGGACACCTGCGAGGGGCCCAGATTCTGTTGGGTAGTGGCTCTCCGATGGGAACGAGTCAAGACGAGTCCGTTTCTCTATCGGCCCAGATCATGGAGAAGACTACGAGATGAAGTTTGAGGAGGGCGGTCACAAACCTGTGACTCTCCAAGGATCAAAACGAGCGGCTGGCTTTCCACCACCCCACGTTGCATCTTTTAGGGAAGGGTACGTGGGCCTTGCTCACTAAAATGGAAAAGAAACCGATATGAAGAAATGTCACCAGCGCAAAAGTTCGGAGGACCGCACTAATCTTTTTTCTTGAGCTGCAGGAGGGCAATCCGATTGTACACTGATCAGTGGTGGATATGCCGCCACGTCATCAATCATCACCGCCTCAATCTGCCACGTACAAAGTGCAGGGGACAGGCGAAGGCGGGGTGTTTGTGAAAACCTTCCATGTCACAAAGATGAAAGGGGTCCGACATAGTTTGCTGAGATCAGTAGAAGGATGACGACTAGCTCGTCAAGCACACCATCAATGTTTGTTTCGATGCACCATGATAAGAATCATGAAGAGTGGGCGTGTGTCGAACCTCCGGACGGAACATCATCGAGCAGATGTGTTTCGGAAACGTCGAGTACTATAAAGCAGTTGAAAAGCTGGCAATGGTCTAAAGATTGCTTACATGTGGCTGCTACCAGTTTGAAAACCGGCAGTTACTTTCAAGCGTACGTACGGTATTTTGGAAAGATAGGTCTAAACTTCGGAAAGCGGTAGGGGAGGCCCATGAGCAGAAAGGCCTCGTAGGCACTAGTCCGATCGTCCAGACTGGTACCACGTTTTGACTAGACGTGTGGCTTGGGGGCGTCATATATGCTACTCACTTTTCACCAATGCCTGGCGGCTTGAAGTTGCGCCAATAAGCGAGTCAAACATCCCAGCCCGCTCCATAGTGATAGGGATCCGCCACGGGCATCGACCTAGTTCATTTGCAGACATGTTGAAAGAAGTGCATGTTGACACTTGTCCTTTCAAATTTGTTCGGGGCTGTCCTGGGTCACCATCGAGCGTCACCACGATTCAAAGCGAATAAGTAAGATAACCCGGACAGTCAGGCAGTTAAAGGATTGAAAAGCCCAGCATCGGGGCAAGTCTCCAGCCGGAAGCTCTTGAAAACAGCAGCAGAGAGAATGTCCTGCACCTTTGATTAGACGTTAACATTACAGCCCAATGGCAAGGAGTGCTGTTCTCAGCCGTGTACCTAAAGGCTTGAACTCGACAGTCACCACTTGAGGCCCGAGTTTCGAATCATTGAGCCAAAACTTTGTTTTGCAAGCATCCTCCTAAAGGGCCCACCAACAGTCCAGGATTGGCCCGGTAGAACTATGAACCACGTACGAAGTTAACCAGCTCGGATGACTGAGTTAAACAGAGGTGGCATCAGAAAGCCAAGCTAAAGCATGACCCAGTTGAGATTATCCGAGCATCCCGTCGGTGCCAACAAGCGCCTTCGCATGAGCAAAGACTTCGGTTTGCTGAGCATGAACTTCAGATTGCCGAGTAAAGACTTCGGTTTGCCGGCTTTCAGCTACAACAAAGGGGGAGGTGAGAATGTCAAGCTAAGGTCGGCTTAAGCCCATCATGGGCATTGGGAATTGGCCATACGCGCGCGCATGCTTTCGAGGATTGAGCGCGTGCACCGTCAGCGACTTTAACAAACTGATCCAAAGACGCGCACAGGTAACCAAATGTAAGCGCTTGTCAAGTTCAGGCAACAGGTGAAACCGGAAACGATAGGAACGACTAGGCATCCATGGTATAGTCTTCGAAAAACCTGGAGCCGACATCCAGGACTGCCAGACTCAACTAAACAAATCTCTCCAGAACATTGCTATCGGCCTGAAAGGACGCGCGCATCTGACATCAGCTAACCTGAAAAAGAGATCGCCGACTGCAATCGAAGGGCGATTGTGTGAAAGACTGCGTATATTCTTGTTGCTCAGGGTCGAGCAACACTTGGCCTTGATGAGTTGAAGAGTGCGGGACCAACCTGAGTCCCGTTCACCTTGGGATTCTTTATCTAGGGAACAGGTAAGGTCTTTAAGGATCCACGAGAAGTGTCTCGCCCAGGTCAATTGAGAACAAGAATTCCTCTCAACCCTAGCTCCCAAAATTAATTCCGCCGCTGGTTTTGTCGGTACTATTCTATCCACCTCGAGTGTTATTAGTTGGTGATTGCAATTGTACGTATTGTACCTCGACTGACTTTTCCTCACGCTTAACCTGTTCAAAGACGGTTTTGAGACTTGAGTAGCATCTGACACATTGTGGCGCTCCCCGTGTCTCTCGAGACCGGGTCTCTCGTCATTGCTGAAGCCAGGCGAATATTTGGATTCCACCAGATGCTCCAGGTTGACGCAAAGCAAAACTGTTGCGCTGGCGTAAGCTTTCCAGAACTGAAGGCAAACAGAGTGGCTGGACAAGGGTTCTTGACGCCGGTCGCTAGGGGCAGCCGGAATATTGGCGCATAACGTAGGAGCAGGATTTGGCTCAATTGATCACAGTAAAAATGCCAGCTTATGCACAACAAGGGACCCCCTTTGCGGTATGGTTAACCGCAAAGCCCAACACAAAAGCCCTTGGAACCATTTAAGTGGATTGACCGGTTCAGGGATCGAGAGTCGAGACTGCATGAAGGCTCCAAGAAACCACACAAAAAGGAGACGCGCAGACGTCTGGGCCAAGGAAATGTGTTGGCTTGGCAAGCAGCGGATGGCATCAGAAGATGCGAGAGAGAGAAAATCTGCAACTGGGGCAGAGACCATCAGACATCTCATCACTGCCGGCTTAGTTCTCCAACCACCCTTTACCTGGCTCCGACTTGCAGAATCGCGACGGCTGACGTGCACTCCTCTGAGTTCAAGAGATGAC